CAAGCAACATTTTTCGGGTCACAGTCCAACCTAAGGTGAGTGGAGTGTATAGCGGCTTCTTCGGAGCCAGCCTCCGTCGTATGAGCTCCTTTGTGACGCAAAACCTCAACATCTTTGCGCTCCGATAATTAGCCCAGTCTCCGAAGACATCAATCACCCGCCGTTATTTATACGTTGTGTGATGATTTGTGACAAGTGATGGATGCCATCCACCAGTGATAAGGTTGTCACAGATAAATTACTAGTTGATAGTGCTGTACTGCTGTGCTCAGCTGCGATGTTGTCGTTTACTGCTGCTCATAACATAACTGTATCAATGTAATTTGATACCTATTGCACTAACCCTTGCTGACACAGACTATTCTAACCTATCTCAATAATTCATAATTGTCTATCCCAGACTGAGTTTATTTACACACAAGGTTTTCACAATATCTCATAATGAGATTAGTAAGAGAATGTAAATATAATTAGCAACATCTTGTTATTGTTGTAGGTCCTTGTTGGAACTTAGTGAATTGGTTTCATTAACATTAGCAGCAATATCCAAACAAAAGATAGTAGACTGATATTTGGTAACAAAATCAATTTTGTGGATCTGGATCAAGGTTTATGTCCAGAAAATAATGTATTATTATAATAGATAATGTGAGGTTTTGTTCAGAAAACAGTTGGGATTTAAAAAAGTTTAGAGTGTATAAGATATATCCTAATTTCATTAGATGATAAAAAGCTGACAAACATATCTCAGAAAATTGTGTTCACTGTATAGTAGGCTCTCTGCATGTCTATTACCATGCTTATTACTATAGAAAGACAAGTAGTATAGCTTCTTGATTACACTCTCATATTGCTGCTATTAAGGAGAAATGTGAATGGTTAAATAGAGTTTTATAGCATCACACTATTCCAATTAGTTTGCAGCAGATGGAATAGGTATGCAAAATACAAAGAAATTAAAAAGCAATGAATCGAATGCTCATTTCAAAATGGTGCAGTTTAAAAGTCAAAGTCAAACTCATTTATTTGAATTAGATCGAGAAGGCACTTTTGAATGTCAATAAATTACTTGTTTGTTATTCAAAACACTAATTCACTTACGTGAAGTGTTTTGAATTAGTAATAGTTAGTGAATTAGTGTTTCACTTAGGAGAATTAGTGTTTTTTAAAAAACGTTTTGTAATACATTCCTAACACATTTTTCATTCTGACAGATTATTCGCAATGTTTTCTTTATAGTCGAGTCGATATCAACAAGTATATTGTTTCATGTAAACAGCAATGATAGTAAAAAGACTTTATTACAATTTTATTGATTGTCACATCATTTTAACAGGTATTACTACTATTTTTTATTGCCATTTTGGCTGAACCTGTAATGCTATTTGATTTTTCGACATCAATATTTTTCTGAAAACCATTACATCGCAAGCATTGGATTGTTAGGATTGATTTTAGAAGAGTAATCCATTGCATTGTAAAGTATTTACAGAATCATTTGTGTGATTCACATTGTTGTTATAATAATTGATGACAAAATTGGCATAGTTTCCGTCTGTTATGGGCCAAATTTTGTAGTAATTGATAATATAAATAGAATTGGTATGGGCATGATATGTGTTTATCCAGGAAAACTCTATAGTCTTTAATATGATAACAAACTTGTAAAAACAATGTTATAATGGAAATATGTGGAGGAATATTATTAAAAAACAAAATCCTGAAAAATGTTTTGAAATGTCATTCTATACTAAGATGCAGTTTTGCTGAGGTAATATTAAGAATTTAAGAACCACATGATTAAATAAACACAATTACCATCATAATCTCAGTACCTACTTCTAATTTGTAACAGATTATCAAGTTCACTTATCTGATGGCTGATCACATTATCTAACATCAATACTATAAATACGATATTTAATAAATATTTTGTAAGATCCACTAGTTTATCCACTAGATAAGCCAACTGCTGATAGCAAATTTAAAGATAAAGAAACAACTGCTTGAATTTGCCAAGGTGATGCATTTCTTTAATAAGGATATTGTATTTGAGAAATGTCTTACTAATTCTGCTTTATTACATCTAATTTATTTTTATCTCATACTTTATGCATAGCGAACTTGGTTCCTGATAGAAACTTAGCCGTTGCTTGCACAAGTAATATTTTCTTAGTTCCTCAGTAAAGTTAGTATTCATCGAGATAGATGATGGACAAACAAAGCCTATTATAAAAGCAAAAGAAATGCCCTGTACTATTGTTCTCTATAGCTATTGTATCTATATTGTGCTGTGGCTATGGCTTACTTCTCAATTCATTTTTTATCTAAAGAGATTTCACTACAATTCCTTTATTGTAAAAGGGAATGAAATAAAAAATGAAGTCTATGGTTTGATCCAATTTTAGGCTGGACATAACATAAGTAAATCTTAAGGTATGTTTAGATTATGACTGAAATTGTGACATAAAATGTCTGACATTAACTCGTCGAGTACCGGTTTTATAGTCACAATTAAAGAACAATAGGTCGCGGTCACCGGTGACCGCTTGGTGTTTGACAGATTAATGTCTGATGTCTGTTGTGTTTAAACTTACACAGATTATAAGATGGCGGCTGATGCGACACTAATTATCGTGTCACGATATTTTTTCTATTACATGTTCCTACAAAGACACGGAGTGTATGGCGTATAGTGTCGTAGTGTAAACGTACCTTTAGATTTGTATAACTACTTAGCAAATGCTGTTTGCCAAGTATATAGTGTGTGTGATTTTATGTAGTACACAATAGCCATGATTATGAAGAAATTACATAGATAAATCACTGTAGAGTGAGATAACACTTTATTAGTGTTAAAAAAATAATGGATTTTATTGGTGTTATTTGTGTTGACTAGCAAATTTTCTAGGGACTTGTGATGTTTTATATTTCTCTTTTTTGGCGCAGAGTGAGCCGTGTCTTGGGGAAAAAGCACACCGGGCACTACGGTGGCCCCAGATACACCGGCCCCAGCGCCCCAGCCTCCCGGTAACGTGAAATTTTAATTTTTATATCACTTAAGACAAGCATTTACATTAAATCTATGATTTTACGACTCCATCTAATAATTTGTAAAGAATTTTGGGCATGTTAAAGCCAAAAGGAAGGGTTTTCTATGTCTAAGTACGCTAAATCTCTTTATGTATCGCAATATAGCAGCAATATCCAAGGCAGTAATGGGATAAAAAATACCACAAAGTCATACCACGTATACTGCGCGATCTGATTACTGGATATCGTTACAACAATAAGTAGGTAAACGGTAATAGTCCGATAATGTAAAAATCGATTATTTTAAAGCAGGAAGTTACATTGACCTTGTGTGAACTCGGTAAACTATGGCCTTACGTATTGTTAACGTTCCGTGCCAAAAAGTAGAAAAATATTCTAGACTTGAATTAATTTACGGAAGAAAGCTTTATTTACAGACGACAATCTTTGTTTTGCGGTACTAGGTAAACGGAACGGGAAATTCACTTAGCTTTTTATTTGTTTTTAATTTCAGATACCACAGAAGTGGTTTCTGTCGAGAGACGCTTTCTTTGCAGTCCTTTGGTCTCTTGAAATTGAAACAGACGTTTATCCGACTTGAGCTCGCAATTCAGTTATTGCAGCTCTACTCCGCCACTACCGCAATGACGAAAATAATATATATTTTTTTAAATAATCACCCATGTTTTATCCGCAAAATTCCGTTAGTCTATTATTATGCCTACAATGTGAGGAAAAGGAAACTTGATTCATTAAATGCGTTCCGGACACCGCTTACTTTAAGTTTTCGTCTTGTATGGAATATTACGTCCTTGACCTAGGTATCCTAAGAGTTCGATTAAGTTGTCACGAAACTTGCATACTAATTGGTTAATATATTTACGCGATTATTCTTTGTGTATCCCCGACTATTTATTAGGACTACAATGCATTAAGGCTATATAATTGGTCTAACTATAATTATATATCTTGTGAAATGTTAACTTCAAGCTGAAGTTGTCGTTAAACCGGAAATCATCCAGAACCTTACGTTTGGCGGCCGCTACAGTGAGCACTAATAGGTAGTCTGTTCGCTAAAAATATTTATAACAGCTTTGAGCTTTGCGTGTGATATTTTTATTTCAAATACTGCAGTCGCAGCTTAGGAATTTCATGAAATACTAAAGAATGAGCACTTAGCAAACGTGTGGGATGTGAACTTTCTATAGTTTTTTCGCTTTGTCGTGACACGACATGATACAGTACGAACATAACGGTCCAAGACTATGGTAATAAGGTTTACGGCGACCCGATTCACTATGAATCTATAAACGAATATTACGTACTATTCACTGTTCACTACACCTTCGATACATGTCATATCTGCCGATGACGCAACCCTGCAATATCGTACGATCGATGGTCTTCGATATTGTGAAATCCTAGTCCGTTTACCAGACCATGGTCGCACATAATTTTTGACGATTTCGTCTAAATTTGTAAAGGTACAACCAATTCTAGACATTCAGATCAAGGACGAAGGTTGAGAATTTGATGCGCAGTTACATGTTATACGTGTTTGTTGAATTGGCTTGTGTTTTGAAGTTGTCACCTCAAAATATAATTTGGGTAATCACCGGGCTGGATTTCCAGTGTTATTGACCGCAGCAAACATTGTAAGAATTAACTTTGGTGGGAAATGTACTTGCTTGTTTTCTGAACTCTTATTTCTTATTTTATTTATTTATATTTGTATCGTTGCCGTGGCCAAATATAAGATAGAATTGTTTTAATTTCCATAAATCAATTTTGTTAGCGACGGTACTAAATAGGTCGAGTGGAGTGAAAATGTTTGCTCGCTTTTTCAAACTATTTATATCTTGAAGTGGAGTACGAATGTGAACATCGTAGGTGCGCGCTACCTGGAGACATACAAACATTTCATTATTTATTAGCTTGGGTACACCATACTTTTTTACTGTTTTTCTTTACATTGTACGCTTTAAGTCCAACAAACAGTAACTCAACATGGACGTAGTCTGTTTCTGTTCGTTTTTATTGTTGTGCTTTTTTCGTCGAGAGTTGCTATAGTATAGTTTAGTAGGAAAACGCCCATTTGTGTATGTATCTTTTAAAATGTCTTTTTTATACATTAACTTAGCAGCGCCCGAATTCATAATCGTCGAAAAAATAAAATTATCGCATGACGTGTTTGTAGAATGCACGCCTGGCGCAGTGACTGGACTACCGACTACAGCGCAACGTGTCGTGGGTTCGATTCCCATACGGAAAAATTCGTTGTGGTATCCACAAATTGTTGTTGAGGCTTGGGTATGATGCGTTTGTAAAAATGTTAATAATTATTACACCAACGATACAGGAGAAATTCCAGACTGAGTCATTTCTTTAATAAAAAATAATAATGTTTCTCTGTTGTTTGTACGTACTTAGTAACAAGTGATCATTGGTTATAATAGTGGACATGATTGTTGCGCGACAATCAATAAAAGTGAAGTCGCTGATGCGTTCATCTGTGTGGGCTCTGTGGGCAGTACAGCCAGACAACAGTGTTAGCGCGCTGGACCGTCAAGACGGGCGTAGGCGGCGCGCGGCGGCCCTTAACGTTGCACTCTACGCGGCTCAAGTGTAGTACGGACAAACATTCAGTCACTCCCGTCGTCGGGGTCTCTGTGTCGTGGTCTTTGCTTCAAGTTGGTGCATTGTGCCGGACGGACATTATGATGTCATTGTTTTGAATACATCAACGAAAATTTTAACATCTGAACTAACATTATTTCTCCAATAAAATCTATTTAGCCTTGAATTTAACGCGCTGATTTATTACCCATCTGCAGAGCAATATGGCTATGCATCAGCCAATATTAAAATCACGTGTTTAAGAGTAATATATTATGAATAAGTACGAGTTAAAACTGACAATTTATTATTGAACTCGAATTCTAGTTCCCAATGAGTCACACGAAAGCGATAAGCGATACCTAAAGTTTGTGCTAAACTTTTTCCTCTAAATGTGTGTGTAAAAATACCGCGCTTATTCTGAGCTAGACATCGCTGAAAATACTCAGAAGTAATCGTTGTGCGTTCTGTGTAAACTTCCATGACTGGACACCATAAGTCGCTAGGCTTGCCGCATGGCCCATGCTAATACATGTTGAGTAAACATCGCACACATTTCACGGTGAATAAGTGCTGTAGTCATTAGCAAGGAGACTTCATTGGCTTATGTCAAGGTTGGCGTAACGTGATGTGTGACGTGTGACGATGGTGACGTCATAAGCTGATTATGCTCACCACATTTATGTAGATTTCTCATGTTTTGTTGTTAAACTTTGTCGCTATACAAACAACAAAAAGTCGGCACGGCAAAGATAAGAATGATAAAAAATACAATATGTGACACTAAAAGTAGGCTAAATGTGTTATACAAATTCATAACAAAGTAAATCAATCAATTAATTAAACAAAGATGTGGGTGTTCTCTACTAGTTGTAATCATTTAATTTTAGTTTAATTATATTAAGTAGAATTGACTTTGTTTTGATATCTACAAATTATCAAAGCGATATGAATTACATTTTTTAAACTTACTTACTAATGAATGTGATTGACGGTCAATTTAAATGTTTCAATTAACCATGTATAGTATTTACGGATACTATTAGTAAAATAGTTTATTATATGAAAGCAACTATTGTCCGTTAGCACATTAGCTATAGTACTTTATAAACATATTTTCTCATTTACTCTTAACACCTTTTTTAATATGTTCTTTAATTTAGTTTCCTTCCTTATAATTTTAATTTGATTAATGTAGTTCGTGTATACCCTGTTAATCAATAAACAATTAATAAATAAGAGAAAATATGAATAGGTATTGAAATCAGGAAACCATTAATGCCATGTAAATTATACATTTGACTGTGGATGATTGAAAATAAATGTTTACCAAGGAAGTTATGATTAAATAATAGAGTTAACAATCGTATTCCATTAGCGCCATGGTTGACACGCAGATAAGGTAGCGCACAATATTATTTATAGTGCACAGTGCACGAGATAAAGCGGAGTGGACATGAAAGCGCTGATTGTGTCTCGCGCTGTGGCGCTGCACACAGAGGAGCATTGATTGGACCCCGAGCCAGGAGGCCAGGCCGTACGGCTCCGTTCCCTGCACACCTTTGTTTACCGCGACCCTGATTATTCATCGATCCGCATTCTGTTATTGTTCTAATTAAACAGTCATGACCTGTTTGTTTACTGTATTGTTTACTCGTGTATCCTCCGTCCAAAGCAATGTTTGCTAATAATAATAATATCAGCTCTTTTGTTTTATATTGTTGGCGAATGTAATTTGGTCCGGTGAACCGGTGAAAGGCATCCGCACTTGGCTGGAAAATTTAAACATCAAAGTAATCTATTTAATGCCACGTTATAAGTTTGCGTTATTACAAAACTTTCTTAATTGAGAAATTACCACGTTTTGTAGTCAGCTGATGATTGGGGTTCCGTACAAGTAATAGAACCCCAGTTTGAGGGCTTTAGTAAACACAACAGTGAACAAATACTTAGTAAATATATTTGATGAACAGTGGAAGGGATGCGGCGCGTTACTGCACGCTTCGACTAAGTCCTCGACGTAAACAGCCGTTTCCTCTCGAGGGCTCATGATTGATCGCGATACGAACTGCCAATAGCTATGACTGATGCACGTGCGTCATCTAGTTCACTCACGGCAGGAGAAGGTTCGTAAGTGAAGTGGCTAGTAATTACTTTAAAGCTTTTAATGACTTTTTGGAAACTTTCCGTGCAACGAATATTACAAAATGCAAACTTCCCGCCCTTTTGGCTTAGTACCTGAGTTAGTTACACATAATTAAATACTCTGTCTTTAGTACTTTCCACTTATAGTTGCTATTTTTGTTTGTCCTCAGGGGTGCTGGAGATGACAGGCACAGATAATATACGGTTTAGCGGGTCAACGCTAGACAAAGCCACCAAAGCCAAGGTCACCTTAGAGAATTTTTACACGAACCTCATCACACAACACTTAGAAAGAAAACAGAGGTATATGCATTCCATGTCATTTTTGCACTATCCTCCTAGTGATTCGTGGTACTAACCTTTGCTTCTCCCACAGGCTCGAAAAATTAGAAGAGTCTCTGAAAGATGACAGCCTTACAGAGAGCCAAAAGAAAGAGAAAAGACAACAACATGCTCAGAAGGAAACAGAGTTCCTCAGACTTAAACGGTCGAGGCTCGGCGTGGAAGATTTTGAACCGCTTAAGGTACGTCCACTCAAGTATTCAGTCAATCGAGGACCATTGTCGAGCAATCGGAAGATGTTATTGACTACATGTGCGAATGTCTGGACGAACAATCACAGAGCAACGTCGCGTCGTACCTCGTAGCTCTTAATGTACATTAAAATAACGTCTGGCCGTCTCGTTGCCCGCAGGTTATCGGACGAGGCGCCTTTGGAGAAGTTCGACTGGTGCAAAAGAAAGATACAGGCCACGTTTACGCTATGAAAATACTCAGAAAAGCTGACATGTTGGAAAAAGAACAGGTTTGTGTGGATTATATACACGACGGGCTACGACTTACATAAGGGTTGTTGGCATTGATTGAAAGATTGTGCGACGATCCGACGATACAATGCATGCTCTAGTCAGTAGTTCGCATCAAACGCTCGGTTATGTATGATGAGTCACAACCACAGCGCTGTGCTTTCGAAAGGCCGAGTGAAATTCACGTTAAGTTTGCCCTTATCGGGAATTTTTGCTGAGTCATAATGTGAATTGGAATTGCATTCGCATATCGTAACAACCTAATGCGCTCAATGTTTTATAACATTATTATTATTGTACATGATGAAGTAAATTCAAAATTAACTTCCTCAATTTTACAGGACATTAAACTATATTTGTAACTTACTAACCACTGCATAGATCTTGACGTATATTACGTACTGATCGCAGTAGACTCGTGTATTGTAAAAGGCTTCCTTTATAAGAAATGCATGATGAGAGGCTAGACAGCGGACACTTGGCCAGTAGACACGCGATGCTATTCTCAGTCCCTTTACACAAGTAATAACATGTTATTTCCTTGTCAGTTATTGAATGCAACGTACGAACGGAATTGTTAGATAGCGACAATAAATTGTATGGAATCGAATACAAGTAACGTGCCTGATAACTGACTATAATGCCAACTATTAGCAGTAAAACTAACGTTAGTTGGCTATTTAACTGTAACATATATCATAGTGTACCAATATTGTGTCCCATCCTACTGACTGTCTTGTTTTTATGGGGAATAAATATTCCATTAAAAGTAAAAAAACACTCGATGTCGTGTTTCCTCTGGGAAGTTACTGGAATATACTTGAGACGAACACTTGAGTCCCACTTGGGACTTATCTAGAATAATATTTCTTTATTTAATATAATATCGATAATGTCTTACATATGATCACGTGTCGTCTCGCAGGTAGCCCACGTTCGTGCAGAACGTGACATCTTAGTAGAAGCCGACCACCAATGGGTCGTCAAAATGTACTACAGTTTCCAAGACCCCATGAACTTGTACCTGATCATGGAGTTCTTACCTGGTGGCGACATGATGACGTTACTCATGAAGAAGGACACCCTCAGTGAAGAGTGCGCACAGTTCTACGTGGCAGAGACGGCACTCGCGATTGACAGTATACACAAGCTGGGCTTCATACACAGGTAAGGTTCATCATTTGTATAATTACAACCTTCTGTATGCCAATAACCATTTTGATCGGTGCTCGGTGTATGATTTATCCTAATAATTATTTGGTCCTTGTTTCCTGAGGCAAATAAGGCAAAACTGAGTGAGTAAATGGAAGTAGGGTGTGTACTTGTATTTCTTTGTAAAAATTAAATACTAGATCCCTGCTGCATGAGTGGCTGCTGGTTTTTTATGTAGTAAGCCGAAAAACGATCTGACGGATCACCTGATTTTAAGCATCGGCGCCGCCCTTGGACGTTCGAAACACTAGAGGTGTTACAAGTGCGTTACCGGCCTTTTGGGGATTAGGAATTTGAGGATTATTGGGGATTCGGGGATTGGGGAGATTAGGGGTCATTGGGCCTTCGGTTACCTCATTCACACGACGAAACACAACGCAAGTGTTGTTTCACGTCGGTTTTCTGTGACGCCGTGTGGTATCACTCCGGTCAAGCCGGCCCAGTCGTACCGAAGCAGAGCTCTCTCACACTGTGGTGTGATTATGTTGGGTATTGGGTTAATGGGATTTTTGCAATAATTTATTTCCAAGAGAGCAATCGATCAATATTCGTAACTTTCGTATTAAACAATATCAAAGTTTATTGTATGTTTGAGAAGGTTAGTCTCTAGCGAATAGTCACTCAACCCCGAAGTTAAAGTAATTGTCCGATGGCCTCCACAAAATCTTTCAATCTCTATTTATTTATATGTTTTAAATAAAATGACGCATGATTATCAATTGACGGCAGCGCCAATAATCTGCATGTCACAATATTGTGTTGTTTCGTTTTGTATACGACTACCAGTTATAGTCTTTATGAATAAAAATTGATTTGACTTTGACATTCGCAATCGATTCCAAGGTCATTACTAGCTGCGCTATTGATGCATATGCTTGATGATACTTAATACGTTTATTAGTCAATCGATATAAAAACCTTATTTTTAAAAACATAGTAGTAGGTATTTCATTTGTATTAAGTTTAGTAGTCACAAGTTGTACAATATATTGAAAACTCGGTTTGTAAAACATGTCTGCTCATCGTTTCCAGGGAAACCAGCCCAGACATATAATTGTAGTGTTTTTGCTTGTAATAAAAGGTATTAACGCATACCCACGCTTGCGATAAAGGTCTGTCCTCACGCACAGATCGTTGAACCGGATGATTGCAGTGTCGGCCACTGAGCTAGCGGCTGTTTACCCTGCCATTAGGGACCCTCATTGTTACCTAACATAACTATGTGTTTTATTAATAGATAGCTCCCGCCGCTATGTCTACTCGTTAGCAATAAAAGTATTAAATCAGTCATTTCCCCGCCATTCAATCGCTTCATAGCTCTTCAAGTATTCATCAGTAAAGTGTAGCGCCGCGATGAATAACAGTTTCTTCTAAATGATTAACTCGAAATCCAGTCGTAGTCTGCGGTGAACACGGAACGATTTGGTTTGCTCGCGTTTCATGCATTTTTTATAACCGCTACAGATTGATTTACACGGAGGGCAAAAATAGTGTATTATTGTCATGATGTAACCTCGGGACGTAATTGGAATAATGGTCATGTCTCAATTCGTTGAACGATCAATGTCGATTGTTAATTCTCAGTAATTTGCGTAATATGTACGATTTATTTAGAACGTCAGTATGTACGTTGATTTCTTGAAAGTTAAAATGTTGTATTGATGATCCTGTGTGGCTGTACCATTTTGTTTCGAAGGAAGTGAAGGGGTCATCGTTTGAGTGCCGTGAGACAGTAAGGGGTTATGTCGTGTACACATTAACTACTCACCTTCAACTTAATTTAATCTAGGTCACAGATTAATGTGCCGCTCTTATCGACAGTGATTCTAAATAGAAAGTATATTTTTTGTTGTTTCTTTACATAGTTAACTGATTAAGTGAAGATTTTATTGATTTAACTTATCACAATAACATATGGCCAACACGTACGCTATTTCTATTATTATAAAAATCTGGGCTACACGACACTACACACTTGACATCTAAGCCGGCTGCTACCAGCGTCGCCGCTAGGGTAGTTGACAGTGTAATGGCCTCTCACTTCGACATGACTGTTACAAGGACGGACAGGTAATGGTGTTCCTTTGTCATCAAAGTAGCCGGATAAATAGAAAATACCTGGAACCACAGTTGATTGCCTGTGTACTGGCTCGTTAATAACTTAGAGTTTGCTAATTATATTATCGGGGTACTTAACAATATTAGCTTTCGCCGCCTGGGTGCGTCGCTCCTTGTCAACATGACGATTGCTTTGCCTCAATAAGAAAAGTTTCGTGCCCTATATAAATTGTATTACTGGCCGATTAGAATCGCATATGTAAGCAAGATCGTGATTGTAAAAGTTTGAACATGTATAAGATTGAATCGATTTATTTATTCAGTGTTATCCGCTGCGGTTTGAATTGAAGGGGGAAGAGGACGATTTTAATTTAATATGTGCATTGTGCAGTCATTATTCTATTAAACCATCGTCATAGTAAGTCGTTTGCAAGCTATATATGGAAGTATGTATTGAGTACATATTTATACATAAATGAATAATTTTCACGCAAACCTTTCATTAGTCAACACAATACCTAATTATGGCTGAAATAATGGCATTTTTGAAATGACGTTACGTTTTCCTATTGTTTACATTTGGCTCTTTGATATTGGGCTAGGATTGGCCTTCGAACTTTCTAGTCCTATGGTATAAAAAATATAAACTATGTACCAAACTCAAGCAAAGTTGTGTAAAGGAGATTACCGGAAGGTTTTGTTAAGACCAATACTAGGAAAATAGTTATTTTGTCTCCGGTACAACGTTTGATCGTTACTATAGATACGCTTTTGTCGATGGGAAAAAAGGTTATCTGTTGGTTTCTTGTCATCTTTGCTATTGTACATAACAATGAAAATATGGCTACATATGTATATTTTATATGGACATATTTATACTTCATATAATAGAGAACTGAAAGGAACTGAAAGGAGGTCGCCTCTCGTATTGTTGTGAACATGAAGTGTATTCTGAAAAGGGATGACAGACATACATATAACAACATGAAAGCTCTTTTATATGACAAGATTGTGCGAAGGATTAAGTTTTGGGATGAAAGTGATGTGGCACGTGGATGACAACAATATGTCTACTTCAAAGAGTACATACATTCTTTTTATACTAGGCAGTTACTAAGATTTCAGTCACGAATCCTTTTTATAAATTATAATATAATGAATGCATGTTACCGTTTCCAGAGACATAAAGCCAGACAACTTACTACTTGACGCGCGCGGCCACATCAAACTGAGTGACTTCGGTCTCTGCACCGGCCTCAAGAAGAGTCACCGCACAGACTTCTACCGGGACCTCTCGAGAGCAACACCCTCGGATTTCAGTAAGTTGATACTTTTATTTATTGATAAACATATTACATAATATTTATATTCATTCCTCACGACTTTATACACACTGTTGTTGATAAAACGCTGTTGATTTTGTTTATTTATTTCGACATCCTGCTGCATCACCCTTTGCATGACATTAATTTGACACTCGTATCAGAAATGAGTAAGTATACATATACTAGTAAGTATAAGTATACAAATACTAAATATAGTGTCATCTCCATCTTTCGTAGTACATTGTATCCCATCATTCATTATTTCATAAATACTCGACAGCGGTTTATTGACATTGCCCTCAGTTGCTTGCCTATCAATTTAAGTTGCTCAACATCGACCAGTATTTAGTGGTCGGCTTATATTGTGGGGGCGCGGGTGATGCTTCGCTTACATTTCGCTTCGCAGTACTAACGAGACGAGCTCTCGTAAGTACAAAGCTGCTGCCGCAGCCGCTATGGAGTGGACAGGAGGATGGGTATCATGTGTAATCACGTAGAATATTAATTAAGTGTTTATTACCTTTTTTTATTTAAGCTCTACACTTCAATTTCTCGTATGCAGTATCGACGTCGTCGTCGGCCATGGACTCGAAGCGGCGGGCCGAGTCGTGGAAGAGAAACAGGAGGGCTCTGGCCTACTCGACTGTAGGCACGCCCGACTACATAGCCCCCGAGGTATTCCTGCAGACTGGGTACGGCCCGCAGGCGGACTGGTGGAGTCTCGGCGTTATCATGTTAGTATCACAATGTAACTGAAAAACATGCAATACCAATCACATTTCATTGATGTAGATCCAAACACATTGTCTGTTTGGGTATGAATATCATATCACAGTTTATGAACAAGCTAGTGCAATTTCTTATATAAACAGATATTAAAGTATGTATTTGTGATGAATGTTAGCGCAAATAAATTGAAATGTAAGTGTGACGCGTTACTAACTGAACAGTGGCGTAAAATAATAGCGTATACTAGAAAGCCACTGGTCATAAGTAACGTTAGTATTATGTGTGTTAAGTAAACAGTATTTGTTTGTAATGCTAAAGCGATTTTTAAACAAATATAAGCTCCTTGCAATTTAAGCTATTCGAATGTACTATGTATACGTCTTAGCTTGCTATGAGTAGTTTTAACAGCTCTGCGTAGTTATTGTGATAATTTAGGCTACAATGTTGGAAATATTTCATCACATTTCTTAAACAGTAAGAGGTTAGCACTAAAATACAGTTTTGTTATGATTCCTAATCCAGAAAGTAAATAAAAAATAACATAAATGTTATTAACTCCGCATAAATTAGAATGAAATGTAATATAGGAGACAAGAAACGCTAAAGTTTCCAAAAAGATAAAAAGAAAAACGTATTTTGCTTACAAGAAATACATAGATATTCAATATTCCTGATTAAAAATAATGGCTTCACTAATTTCGAGAGATCAAATAAAAATACTGCTTTGATTTATAGAGCTTCATGAGTAATCAGATCTAATGAAAATCATTAATTTGACGGTTGCTGTGCCAGAATCCTTACAAGCGATTTTTTAAATTATATTAGTCAGTAATTGGAAGTGCGAATGTTTATTTTGGTAAAGATGTTACGTAAAAAGGAGCCAGAACATTACACTTTTTGAATCCCCGACGGGGAAGATGATTTTTTCCTCAGTCATGTCATTAGTCCCACGTAATAGACTGAGTGCGAGCATGTTGCCACACGCCATAAATTACTCCACTCTACTAACAAATGATCGAATAACTGAAAAATCATAACAGTACTTAGGCCGACTCGGAAATCGTACTCAATAACCTTTGCTAGGCAATCAATATCGTACTCAACCAACGACGTATTAGGTAAGATAGTACAGGGTTCATTTTGTAGATTAGAAATAATCAATGAAACATCTCTGATTTACCTCGGATTAGAGCTATGTTGCAATAAACTAAGGCCTGTATGCCTTTACAGAGAAATCAATAATATTACTAATTCTTTTCTCACACTTCCTTAATACCAATTATGGTGATAGTTCACTATGGCAGACAAAATCCATATTGTACCATTAACAATTTGAACAAATGGTGCTAAGATACAGAAAAGAATCATGTAAAATACTAATAATATCTATTAAATAAGGATCCTATTGCCATATACCGGTTACAATTCCAGACTCTGAGCTACCACTGAGAATCTTTTTAAAAACCCAGTTATGTAAAAATAAATATTATATCACTATTATATAGTTTCGGCTTAGCGTATCACATCAACAATGCGTTACTAGGAATTAGAGTATTTTCCTTAAAAGCTCTGCGACAATATTTTATTTATTTCCAAATAATGTTAGCAAAATACTTAGGTATTTTTATCTTGAAGTATTCAGCTGTGCAGAGGTTTACTTCATAAATCAAATGTCGGCCCAGTACGCCCACTACGGTACGCCTACACAACAACCGTAGGTGGCTCAATCAAGAAGTGTACACCAAATTGATTGAACATGTCTGCTTATAAGTTAACAGTGGTAGCTACACTAAGACCCAGTCTCACTTCCGTCATATTTATTTGGTAGATAGTGGCTATGCAGAGAATGTGAAGCGAGCCGTAAGGATGTATTTAATAAAAACTACATAATTACATGTCCTCTTATTTGTGCTAACATCAGTAAAAATGCGTAAATGTCCTTCATAAACCGGCAATTACCGGTGTTAACCAGATACTATCTGTTTCCAGGTACGAGATGTTGATCGGCTACCCTCCGTTCTGTTCGGAGTCCCCTCAGGAGACGTACAGGAAGGTGATGTCTTGGCGGGAGTCCCTCACCTTCCCGCCCGAGATACCCATCAGTGAGGAAGCACGGGAGACCATATTACGCTTCTGTTCAGAACCAGACCGCAGGTACACAGGGATAACTATATTTATGTACTTACTTTTGATGAAGAGTTTGTCGGTTGTTTTGCTGTAGTCTACGAAACTACTGGTTCGAATATAAAAAATATTTTTTCGATAGTTGATTTATAATGCAATATTAGTTCATAACTATTGGATTAAAGGTAATGAAATAAGCTTATGATTTCTCGCATTGAAAGAATAAATGCTACAAGATTTACGAAAGAGGTGTAACGAGTGAGACTGTTACAATAGACATTCAAATAGATTACATTTGCCGGAATACTGAATCGTTACTTAATTTTAAGTCGTGCTCAAATATCGTGCCATCTCTGTCATTTTACAAAGAATTTGTAGAGATAGAACTATACTTAAGCACGACTTAAAATTGAGTAGCGTTTCAGTATTCCGACAATAGTCACTTTTATGGATATCGTAAACTAAGTATCTATTTATAGCAGATAGCAGATATTGAAAATGTTTTTAATGTCGTTATAATACTGCATAAAAACGTTACAAAAAGTTTATCTAGCCAAAATGAGTTATACTCAAGTTTTTAGTTGGCCTTATCTCTGGATAGTTTTGGATTCGCGTGGTGGAAATATGGGTTAGATGAGTAAATTATGACTGAACCGAAAATTATATTGCGTCAAAGGAGATACGGAGATGGGTAATTGTAGCAAGCAATAGATATTTTCTTCCAAAATAAGTGTGATTGTTGTTGGATGTGGAGAGATGAAGATGAAGCTTAATATTGTGCTATTGGAGAGACCAATGTTCTGATGTTAATGAATGTTGAATGTATTACAGATTGGGTTCTCAACGCGGCATCGAGGACGTCAAGTCGGTGTCGTTCTTCCGCGGCGTCGACTGGAGCCACGTGCGGGAGCGTCCCGCCGCAATCTCCGTGGAAGTTCGCTCTATAGACGATACTTCTAACTTCGACGACTTCCCAGACGTCAAGCTCGAAATACGTGAGTCTAGACATTGTGTCGTTTGTACTATATAATTAGTCTCCTGCCAATAATTATCTATTTATAATGATTACCAGCTATGCAACAGCAACCATTATGAACATTGTGTACGTTGTTGCAGCATCAGCGCCAATCCCACAAGACGGCGAGGTGGCGTATAAAGACTGGGTGTTCATCAACTACACGTTCAAGCGGTTCGAGGGGCTCACACAGCGCGGGACCCCCACCAAGAAGTGAAGCCTCGGTCCCCGAGTAACACTGCTTTCAGTCTAAACTGCTGCAGCCCCTGCGCTACCTAGCCTTGCCAAGCAATATAGATGTTAACCTTCGTTAGGCGGTCGATAGCAGCGCTAGACAGGCCCTGGCTTCGTATAACTGCCTGCTATGTTATTATTACTTAGTAATACGTACGATAGGCATACGGTAGGTGGTCTACACTTGAGAAAGCAGAAGCATAGTAGACCTTAGTGCAGTTTAATGATAGAGTTAATTGAGACAAATCCTTAGTAATATCTCTCTTTACTTAATAAGATCTCGAAAGTTAACCCTTAGACGTCATCCTCGGATAGTAAGATCGTAATATAGCAATACATCGCTAGGTAGGTCTGCCCGCTCTTTGTTTCTAACTATACTGAAATAAAAGTGCGATTATTTCATAATGTAACATGTATGATACGGCGTAAAGTTAAAGCTATAAGTCTCGTGTGCCTACCTCTATTTGTGCCTACCTCCGCATGCATTTGCGACACTTTAGTCTGAAAGCAGTCTGCAATAACAACTGATGACAACCCTGTAATATCACCGTTTGACTGTACGTACTGACATGAAATGCGTGTCTGGTCACAACTACCCCGGCCTGTAGCGCTCGCCTAGCTGTCGTCGGTGCAAGCCGACCACGTGGACTAGTGGATCAATTCGAACAATTGTTTATACCCTTGTACTCCAATGTTTCGCCTGAATCACTAAATTATGAAGTAACAGGCGCAAGTCGTGTATTGTAGATGACGCTGATTTACTTGACAATATTCTCGCACTGAATGCTATGATTTTAAATGTATATATTGCTCGTAGACAATTTTTCAAATACTATTTTACTAATCGAAATCTTTACTTTCCATTTCTTTGTGCTTCTTCTTTTCGAGATATGCAAAAATAGGATCGCCGTGATTGTTTACTTACCGATACGAAAGTGACACTGAAATATCTTGATGTAATAATAATAATTGTACAGTGCGTAGGTCTAGGCTAACATTGGATATTGATATTTTTAAAGTTATAGTATTAAAGAAACCAAATAATGAAATGTAAAAGAGAATACGTTAAAACGATGAAATTAATATTCCCGAAGTTGGTTTGCCCATGATATACAACACGCTTTGTGTCTTTTTCGCTTTGATATGTTTCATTGTAATTGTTGCGATGATTTTATATAATAACGAGGGATGCACTCGATGTCGATTCCAATACATCGTAGTGATAGTGTACGTGACGAACTTATGCAGAATGACTACGAAATGATCATGAATGAGAATAATCATAAAGCCTTCATCGACAAATTGCCAAATGTATACTGCCGACAAGTATGAAGTAATATCGAATCTTGCAATAAATTATCGATGATATGTCTTAAATTAAATTATATACATTTATTTGATTGCGCTATTTATACGATATCGCTGTTTGTTACTTGTTACAACCGGCAATACAATGTGTTCTATTTATTATTCAAGTTTTGTAATAATTTTAGTTAGGAGTTGCGTGCATCAAGTGAATTCCTATTCAGTTTTGCCCGTTTCTGAGGCTTGGTTATAGCCTTGTTAATATCAGTTGTGAAACATTAATAACGAATCCGTTGAACAGCTGATATTTATATTGCAATACTTGGATAGCTTTGTTGAGCCAATCGTATTTCAATGTTTCGGAGTTTATTACTCTCGTAAAGTTGGACGAAGCGCTTGCTGAAAGAGTTAATATAGTTTTGAGTGAATTGCCAACGTTTTAGTGGTAGGCATTCAGCCACGACTTGCCTTAACCCTAGCCAATAAGGCACGGATACGAAACGAGCAATAATGCACTCTAACCCCGAACTGCTTGAGACAATATTCTGTTGATTAAGTTAATAAAATACCTCATAAGCTGCAATAACATACGTGATAGGTTGTAATTGTAAAAATAAAAGTGTCTTTATATATAGTGGTGCGTCTAGAAATATTGAACTAACTAACCTATAGCATAGGATGAGTTTTTGAAATAAAATAAGAGAAACGAAAAACTAAAAAAGTAATTGTAGTCTGCTTATTTTTGAGGATATATACAATACACTGCTTCCATTGTTGTCCTAATAGGTTCGATGTGCCGCTTCAAAAACGTACCCTGTACAATTGTACATAAGACACAGTCATCGGAATGTACTGGACAGTTACTTCTGTTACATTTCCTGTACTCGACAAGAAAATACGAGACGTACATGTGTTCTCATCGTGCTAGCACACGGCACGTGTGTACACTTAAATGTCTTGTTGTCGGTGCGCGACGCGATGGAAGCACGCCCTGCGCCGCTTGCGACATCGAGTACCCGTTGTTTAAATAATCGTACTCTCTTTCGTGGACTACTCATTAGGCACTCCTATCACAACTAATCTCTAATCAATTTCTAATTTCGTTTATATTATATGTTTCATTTACTTTTATTCGACTGTAAATTAATTATACTATTTTATCAACAGGAATACTTTCCTCTCTGCCTCTCTCATAACTATTACTATTCGAAAGTAAATACTTACCTATTTATATTTTATATTTATACAACTAATAGTGTACAAAAATGTATATTTTGAAGGCCACGTTCAATTCATTCGCAATAGAATTCCGTCCAAAATTATGTTACTATAATAAAGTATTTTACCAAAAATATTAATATATTTACCTTTATGTAGTTGGCGTTGTATGCTAGTAGGAGACTTTTCTTACCTATTTATTTTATGGATTTTCGAGGCTTTAACTGACTTTAACTAGATGATCAGAAAGAAGAAGATTATAGACTGAATTGAGAGACACCGACTTGACGTGAATACACGGCAACTTTTGGACAGTCCTGAGACGAGTTTGTCTGTTTTTAGATCTGACTGTTACGATGAAACAATAAATGGCAAATAAGACATGAAGGTACGAAGCATGCTAGGCTCCCCAGTCGGCTTGCTGCACTATATCTAGTAAAAAATGGGCAATGCGACCTATACCTTATGAAATCGCTCGTGGACTAGTTAATATGAAGTGTTACAGCAACGTATTCACGTCAATTAGTCTAAGATTGATATTATTGCCTGTCCCGTTTACCTTGCAGCCAAACTTATGAATTTAAAATGTTGGCATGAGCAATATTAGCTATTAAAGAGAGAGGTTGGTATTCCTGAGTACAATTTGCTTTAACAAAGTATTCCTGTCTGTCGCTCAATTATTTTCTATAAGCGCAAGACAGAGAAGACTATACATTGTTAAAATATGTGTTCAATAATTTCTTCTTTTTCATATATATCTTTCTTTATTTCTTCAATGTTCCCTAGTAGTTCGTGTGTGTTATATTTTGTGTATGTATAGTATGTAAGACGGACGTTACCGGCAATGTATACAGCACATTCAATTTAATGAATACAAAGCACATCTGTCATTGATATTCACAGATTTGTAAAGGTACCATTTTGTGATCATAATGAAATTTTTGCTTTAATTTTTATTGGGATTCCTGTGTTCATATAAAAGTAGGGAATAAGTCAAGTTTTGCTCACGCTTTGCCAAGTATTGCGCTACTAGTTACGGCTACCTCAAATGATCAGTACATTGAACTTAGCACAACCATAAAGTCAGTCGTTAAAGAACTAGGATTTATATTGTTACAATAATGTTGAAGTGTTATAAGATGACATTAATGTGCGTATCAATCAGAAATATTTTTAGAAGATATTGTTCCTGTTTATAAAGCTTTTGTGGTTCAATGTACACATTGGTGGAGCTGATAATGTAAGGTAGGCTCTGTTCGGACCTGTCTCCTAGGCCCTGGTTGTACCTCGCATTCAATGGTCACTACGTATTGTATAGTACAATGAAATAGCACATTGCCGGTAACTATATTATAATCAAATGCACTTTACAAGGAACATTTTCGTGTTAGAATGAAGTTAAAAATAGTAATTAATATCTTTAGAGTATATATTTCAATATGAGATAGTGACTCGTATGAACTATCACAGAATCCACGAATTACACCGTGCGAACAAGTTGCTTCCATTTTATTATAGTATTCTGATTGTACAAGTATACCATATACATCAAGAAGTTATTAATTTTATACGAAGTACATTTATGTATTATCCATTACATATGTATGTACATGTACAGTGCGAATAAGAGATAAATGTGCAATAATTACAATTGTCAAATTTCGATGTAGTTCAAAGTATATTTTTTCAAGGAAAATTGTGCTTAGTAGGTAATATACATAGTTAACGATCACGTTACTTGTCGGCCGCCACCTATGTATATGTAGGAGACGCTGCGCTCTCTGCGTGGACTATGAACAATTAATTATTTCTGATCATACTTGTTTATTGTACGCACGTATGTAAGCGCAGTCAATATCTATCAACCCTCTTATATTCTAAACTAATTCTAAATAGGCTATTGGAAAAATTAAAATTAAAAAACAAACTAAAACAGCGACACTTTTCGATGTTAAGATATTGACAAGGCGATCTTTAACTTTAAGTTTTTAACATTTACTTGTTCTCAGCACGTTATTTAAATGAAATGTTGTTCTATACGAAATCACTGCTTGCACACAATTTATCAAATTCTCAGCTATAGAAACACACTAGAAGACATGAGAGTTTAGCCACGTGCAGTCACTGGCCCCGCGGAGGGCAGTAGGCAGTGTGACTAGTGATACCCGTTACACAATTCTAAGCATCACTGATATACGTAAGTTAGATGTTACGTTGGCCGCGCGCGGTCTTCTACTCGATATCACAGATTCGCCAGCTTCCGTGCGCAGACGACACTCTAGCCGGAGGTGATAGATTATTTATAAGTATAGGTGTATTTTTGTGTCTGTTTAAATACCTTTAGAAAATTTCTGACTACAGCGACAGGTCGCGTTCTAATCGTTAGAAAATAAATGAAACTGAAAATAATATCCTATAATATTTTTACACTAACATAGTAAGCACATTATAATTCTCATTACGTAATATTAACTTGTACAAACTGACAAATTCTCTTTTTTATAGATATTAATAAATAGTACAACTTAGTTGCACGCTAATACTGAACTTCGTTTGTGTATCTTTCATGCTCTACCGTTTCTAAATGTCGCATGCTGTGATATGCTGTAAGGACTGGCCGTGTATGGCAATATACTACCAAGTGAGTACTCGCCAGTTCCTTGAACGCTCGTTACATCATATCACAGCGTGTGTCGGTTAGCTTCGTGCTTAAGTATGTTTGTATGGGAAACAATCTCTCTCGGCCGTGTCCAACATAACGTGACCGGTCGTACTATCTTCTATGAAGACCCTGTGCGCTCCACGCGTTGTCGTGTACTGCTACAGGGCCGTTACGTTGGCACAGGGCCGACTGGAGCGAAGGACGGCCACCTTCTAACTACAAATCTTCCTCGATTTTGCATCTAACGCCTGACTTCATCAGTTAGCCTTCTGCTTAGCATAGTACTAATATGACAAGTTTGGTGTTGTATAATTTTAATGTTAGCGGTTTGTATAATTTGGATTCGATGTGTGTTGATTTAGTTGACACGTTGGCTGCAGAAACCGCCCTGCACGCTGTGCCTCATCGCGTGTATGTACTGAGTGTAGTGTGATGCGCCGGCGCCAGCGGGGGCTTTCCGCGGCGAACTGCGTAGTGTGACGTTTGTGAGGGCTGTTCGGACGGGCGGACTCGGGGCAACACTAGCTCCGCTAAGCTCCGTGCTACTATTTCCACTAACACTTGTTACTGTACACTGGCATCCACCGTGAACTGTGAGAAAGCCACAATATTGCCATTCGCTGCACACAAGTATTGCAATGTCTGACATCAATATAAATAATAAACATTGTTATTGTAATTCATGTGGTTCCTTTAGCTTGTACAGTAAGATGCCAAAATTTTTCTGTCAATTATTTTATCTGTTTGGATTACGTACATTGCGTGTATGGCACATTATAATATTATATATTGGTATTAATTAATATTCGTCACACTTCATAGAGGCTATAAGTAAGCGAGTCTCAGAGACTTTATACAGTGCGCACCGTTCACACGAATAGCCCATTAGTGATGTAGATGTTAACTCCGTTCAATTTAGTTGAATTATTTCGTTTTTGTCAATAATACATATTAATTTAAATGTAATTTAATTATTGTAATAGTTTGTTGTACACAGACGCGTACCACAGCTGAGAACGAGGTCGGCTCGCTATATGACGCTGTATTCATGTCGTGAACTGAGCATGAAGTACTTTACATGATACTTACTATTTGTTTGCTTCCCTGAACTGATACATAACAATAAAATGTCTTAATGTTATTTTGCGGTTATTTGTTGTAAGGCAAGCACCTGCGTTCTCGTTCGCAAGTAAACACAAGAGCATTGTGATGTCGCACCATTGGATTACATTGACACAAATGCATATTCATAAAATTAACTTTATCATCGGGAAATGCTCTATAAAGTGACAAGCTTTCTATTATATGTCTCTTGTACTTGGGCAACCACGCCTGGTTAGTTCTACCATGGACTGTTTTTGTATATAATGAAGAATTGTATTATTTTAAATTGAATCATTTTGTGCCTCACGTCTTTATTCTTCATATTTCTTTTTTATTCATTTAATTTAATGTTAGTGTAACAATGACAAATGGCTGCAGGCGCTGTACGACAGTCGTTGAAAGAATCCGGCAACTGGGACTCGAGGTGGCGCTCCACAAGTCCGAGGCCATGTGTTTTCATGGCCTCGGGAACGCACCACCTCCGGGTGAGTCCCAATTAACGGCGGGAGGAGTTACCATCGGCGTCGAGACGACGATGAAGTACCTAGGACTCGTCCTCGACAGTCGGTGGAACTTCGTGGAGCATTTCCGACGTTTGGCACCTAAGTTGGAAAGGACGGGGGCGGCGCTTAAGCGCCTACTACCCAACCTCGGGGGGCCAAACGCCTCCTGCCGGAGGTTATACGCCGGGGTCGTGCGGTCCATGGCCCTCTACAGCGTCCCTGTGTGGGCGCCGAACCTGATGCGGCGGCCCGCTCGGGCGCTGCTCACATCACAGAGGGTCATGGCGATCCGATTGATACGCGGATATCGCACGATCTCCGGGGAGGCGGCGAACCTCCTTGCCGGATTACCGCCGTGGGATCTGGAGGCGAAGGTGCTCGTGCGCGTGTTTTGTTTGCGCGCGGACGCACGTCGCCGGGGCGAAACTCCGCTGCCGCGCCAGATTAATGCGTGGCGGGATGAGCTCCGGCGTGATCTCATAGCGGAATGGCAGCAACGACTGTCGCAACCGAAGGCTGGGCTCGCTGTCATTGCAGCGGTAAGTCCCCTCTTTGAGGAGTGGCTTGAGAGACGCTACGGCGTCCTCACCTACCGCCTGACGCAGGTGTTTACCGGACACGGGAGTTTCGGTAGGTTCCTGTTTCGGATTGGGCGGGAGGAAACGCCCGGGTGTCATCACTGCGAGGATCAACCGGGGGACACGGTGGAGCATACGGTGGCGGTATGTCCTGCGTGGACTGAGCACCGTCGTGTCCTCAGGAATGTGATCGGCGACGGTGACCTCTCGCGTCCGGCTCTGGTTCAGGCCATGGTACGGAGCGAGGGGGACTGGGATGCCGTCTCCTCCTTCTGCGGAGCAGTCATGCTAGCTAAGGAGGAGGCGGAGCGCGTGAGGGAAGGAACCTCCTCACGACCCGGCCGTCGCGAGAGACACTCCGGGCGTCGGGGATCGCGAGACGATCTCCGGCCACCGTAAGCACGGGCCTGCGGACGGCGAGCATGGGTGACTCGCCGCTCGACCAGAACCAGGCCCGAGCGTACGGCGCGTCGCGTTCCGCGCGCGCCTCAAGGAGCCATCAGACCACCACAGATGGGCCTAGCAGGGCTGATGCTGATACGGAGCCGCGGAAGACTTAACGTGTTGCCGGGGCTCCGGCTCGAAGTGCAGGAGTAGGAACGGGGTGGTTATTAGTCAGTAAGAATCTGACACTCCCTCCCGCCTCACCCGGGCGGGAGAAGTCATTGAATGATATTCCCCCCTCAAAAAAAAGGCTGTATATTTTGAGAAACTGTAATATAAAAACAATGTATTTTATAAATAGTGAAGGAAATGTAATCAAGAATCTAGATACAGTTGTCTTAAGTTGAAAATAAGTCCATTTGCGTTAATATAATTCTTATGGTGCGATGTGAGGTATTGTTCAGTCAATGAATGTATTAAATTTTACATGCAATGTGTTTGTGAAAACAATCGTACTAGGGGGGCACGTGTACAACATAGTGTGGATTATAATGTCCCTGCGTGTGTCACGTGGCTGCTCCGTAGTACCTTGACAATATTATATCATGAAATCAATTTGTGTAGTGGCTTTGGCCATCCTATCAGAGATGTTGTTTTATTATTGTGATGTATAGCGTCGTTACGAAGTGCGCGGGACCCGGCCGCGGTCAAATAAATCATAGCTATTCGCTTTGTTATTGTTGTTCGAAATAATGATAATGAAAAATAATTATGAGTTATTTAATTTCTTTAATTATAAATCTTTAAGTATTTTGTTTAATACTTTTATTGTTTCTTCCATGTGATTTAAGAAAGTGGCAATACGATTAAGCATTAAAGCGATATGAACTTTGATTGATGACCTTTTTATTGTCATTGTTGTACCTAGTACCTACTCCTTTATCCTATATTCAATAAGAATTTTTAGAAAACTCATACTTTCTAATAGATCGAAAATGTAGATTCTCTTCTGATCTCAAGTCTCGCCGCATCATGCTTGATCTAACATTTCTATACAAGTTGCTTAACAATGGAATGGACTGCCCAGATCTTCTAAATAAGATTTCTATCAATGTGCCTTCCAGAGTACCTCGCCACCCCCGCCCATTGCCGAGATGCCGAACAAACTTGAAAAAACATTCACCACTAGTTAGGATGTCAAACCTGTATAACACCGTAGCTTGTAACTCCAGGGAAATTGATATTTTCTCCAATAAACTGGGGAAATACAAATCCCTGCTTCACACATTGCTCACTGATACATAGGTGCTGAAGTACCTATACGTTAATTTATTGTCTCTTTATTATCATTGTTTTCTGTTTGCATCGTTTGTTTTGTTTCCTGATTTAACAATTTTCGATTTTAGGTATATTCAAAATTACAATTTATTTTGTTTGCATGTCGTGATCTCCTATAATTGGAGAAGCACAAGGTATCTGTTTATTTTATTAACACTGTGCATGTTACGTGTATTTTCTGTTGGAGATCCTTTTTAAATAAATAAATAAATTCTCTTCAAGTTACCAAGATGGAAAAGTATCGGTTCGGGATGTAAATAAAAGTCTATTATATCGTACATATTATATTTCACTTACATAGCTAGTATATATCTAAGACTAAGAACAATAAAGAACTAGTACCAACTGCAACCGGCCAGTAACTTGGGCATACGTTCAGCTGTACAGTCGGCGTCACTGACCCTCAAGGTACTAAAATGTATAAACACAACTATAAAATCAATAACATAGGTTAAAACTATATATGTATGTTTAATAAGTTTTCGATGTAGTCTATTTATTTAGGTACCCCAAAGGCCACTATTTGATGCTCGCTGTACCTTATCAGTTCTTGCCAAGTTACGTGCCGATATGTGCGAAGGTTGTAAATAAAGCTAATATTTAAAAACATTAACAGCCAAGAAACTTAATCAATAACATATCTTCACTTTTATAGTAAACTTACGAAACTGCAAAAATCTTTAAAAGGGCGCGTATCGAAATATTAATTGGTTAATAACTTCTTTAAAGAATATTATAATAAGAACTGCGGTACGTTTCATTTTAAAATTGCCACTGATTATATGTATCATGAATTAATTTCCCTTATATTACAAGAACAATAAGTAAATGCACTTTCGTTACTTTGCATCTTCATACATACGTTACAGTTCAAAGATTCGAATATTACGCTGTAGCCAACTTACGAAAGTGGTAGTTTCGTAATTTTGTACGAAAAGTATTGAACAAATTATTTGGTAAACAAACGAAAGTGCCACTTTCGTTAGTTAAAAAAGTTATCAATTTCATATTTCGAAACGTTCCCTTGCTTATTTTGTTTTATGTAGTTTCGTATGCAATTTTCTTTGGAGTATTGACCCATAAATTAAAATACCTAGGTTTTCATAAATACCTTTGTTTAAGACTTAACATTATAAAAACTGCAATCTTCAAGTACCCCATAAGGAGTAGTTTTTTATATAAATATTCAGTTCACAAAATTGGCAGTTTCGTTAGTTTACCATAACGGTGACAAAATTATATACAAAAATAACATAGTTTTCAGTACCTCCCACTTATTAGAATGTAGGGTGAGACCATGCGCTTTATAACGAGTTTTTAATAAGTATTCAAAAAGCCACAACAACAAGATACTTGGGCATCTCAAACCCAGCACATGGTCGGTAGCAAGTTCGTCTCTATACACAAATACAGATTTCATGAGATCGATTATCTGCAGATTGTTTTAAACTCATGCACATTACATCAAATATCAGCTATTAAATAACACCATTTTCATTTGCACTTAATTGAATTAAGACAACGTCTATCATTTCAAATGATGTACAATATCATGCATTATCTTTGTTGTCTTATAAACCAAGTGTAATTAAAAAATTCAAACTCATTCTCTCTATACTTAATATTAAATTATACAACAAAAAAAAACTTGTTCCAAATAAAATGTAGATAAACATGAATGTTGCGCTACGAACAACATGGAAACACAATAAGTACTATTACCTCTATATATATCTAAATGTAAACTAGGTATGCATATAATGAATATTGATTATGTTATAAAACCTAAAAGGAGCAAATGCTGAGTAAATGCAAACGCAATGCCGTTACAAGGTTTGTGTCTAAATAGTTCCAGTGCATGCAGTTTTTGGTTCCGAGAGCTTAATTATTGTGCGTACTAAAATAAACAATAAACATCTTAATTTAGATTAACACAATAAAAGTAATATCAAAACAAAGATGGGAGCGAAACAATATATTAAAAGTTATAAACATTGTACCGTACCGTTAAGACCTACATAAAATCTTGAGGATGCTAATGTTTTCAGTTCAAAATCTTTACTCTTTTTAAATTTCTACTTAGACCAAAGCGAAAACTTATGATTGGATAGATGAACTCTTAAGTATATAACAAGGAAACGTAATGCACCTCTATAAGACTAACTTATCTTAATCATAATAATAAAAATAAACAATAAGGCTACAAGCAATGACTTAAATGTAAAAATATAAAGAATGTATTTGACGTCCCTATATTAACTTGATTTGTATTTAACTTACGTGAGACATACTGAATTAATTATTAAGTTTTCCGGCTTATTCACATAATTGCTGTCTTGTCACATAGCTGCGTGACAGTCGCCGCATCGTGTGTCGCGAAATGCTGCTCATGAATATGAGCCTCTGAAATGGCTTGAAACTAGTCGAGTTTCTCGTTAAACAGTTACGTAAGTAAGCCAGTAAACATAATAATAACTTGAATTGGATACCCATTCCTAATTCAACTGATTCCATTGACTTAGGAGGACCTGTACATATACTAGGTATAATTATGCAGTGTTATTATATAACGTAATATTGGAAATACTATTTATACTTATTATTAATACATTGTAATACCTGCCTGTTACCTAAATATTATCACACGCGTGTTTGTTTAGCACACACTTGTATTCGAATCGCATTACTGCACTACGGAACACATGGACTTTACTCGCTCTGTAAATAACTATTTGCGAATATACTTTAACTTTATATATATAAAATGTGATACCGGCCGAATTGAGAACCTCCTCATTTTTGGGAAGTCGGGTAAGTACTTAGAATCACGGAAAGCAATTAGGTAAGATCGTTAAAGATGACCCGGCTCCTAGTTTGAACCAATCTTTGTTATAAAACAGTAAAAATTCTTAATTCATCCATTTTCCATGCACATCACTACATGGTACAAAAAAAGTCGCTATCCGCCGTCTGTCTGTCCCTATCTATGCTTAGATCTTTAAAACTACGCAACGGATTTGATGCGGTATTTTTTAATAATATAGTGATTCTTAAGGAAGGTTTATATGTATGATATATGCACACTGCAACCGTGCGAAGCCGGGGCGGGTCGCTAGTGAGTGATATTATTTAATTTCTTGTTTTGTATTTTTCGAGATTATACTCAAGCCGGGTGTTATTTCCTAATATAGCCCATACTATAGTTCGTTATAATGCTATAATATGGTTTCCTAAGATAGCCAACTATGTACCATGTTTGTAAGAAGTGTGTATACTTATTTGTGTTAAAATGCCAAATTCTGCACTACCTTTTGGATATCTTGATTTTTTATTTAAAATGGTAATATTGCAAATTCCATGTTTTTCTTTATTAAATTCATTTTACGAGGGGTTTGAATAAGGTGGGCCTCAACTCGTGGTATGCCGTGCCGGAACATAGGCCTAGGCGAGACACAATGTATTTTATATTGTGTGTCATATACCGACACTGGATAGGTTAATAGGCGCCTGTACCTTACTACAGTTCCCGTATCTAAAGTGTCAATGAAATCAAATACGTACGACTGAAAAAAAGATATACAGGTAAGTAGGTTCGCCAAGCCTCGTCCTACCTTCTCCCACTGCATATAAATCACTTACATTAGACTACTACTTAAATACTTTTCATGTACGAAATTCAGTTCTTAACCTATCAGAGTCATCTAGACAAGAATAACTATTCGAAATTCAGACCTTATAATAATTTATATTATGACTTCGTCATTTTAACTAAAACATAATAGAATTGAACATATCGGGTGGCAATACCTTCTCCTTTAACGAGAAGTCGGTTCAAATAAAATATTATGCTACGTACAACTTATGTTACTGTAGATACAATACGAGCAACAAACCAGCATATTAAGACGACGAATCAAAGAATTACAAGTACCTAAGTTAACCCTTACTTGATAAAAAGAACATAATGTAAAACAAGGAACATTTTAAATAAATAACGATAAAAGTAAAATCATAACATTACATGTTGCATAAACGATATGTATGGTGATTCCTATATGGGGTCGATACAACAGCTCCTAAGTCGTGCGTTTGTCTAACTTATCTACGGCCCGTACACCCAACCACCTCACTCTCAGTTCACATTGTCATGTCATCGAGATCTTGTACACAAACATTACGACACGACGCATGACAGCTTTTTGGAATAGCTGCCAGAATAATACAATCTTTGTTTATAAAACTTGTGATAGAAATATTTTAATACTTTCAGTGGTCATATTAGTTCTTAGGAATCCTACCAATATTATAATTGTGAAAGTTTGTGAGGATCTATAACAATACATCCTCACAAACGTTCACGGCAACGGATGAACAAGTCGAGATGAAGTTCTGAAACAACATATAGGCCACTTTTTACACAGGAACGCGGGCGAACCCGCGGGCAGAAGCTAGTATTACAATATTCCAATAACTATCCCTAGAGAACTGACGCTAGTTATTCTAAACCTTTAATGATAATACCAATAATAATGATATCAGTCATGCCGTTATTAGTATTGGCGTTCTCTTTGATTCTTTTAAATTTATCCTAGTTGCGGGACTGGGGGATGTGACGAGTGCGGGGACTGGGGGGACCTGGGGACAGGTCCCGGCGACGCGGATGCAGCAGAGTCCCCAGCATCTTCATCATGCTTCGGAATATCGAAAATCTCGGAAAATAGGGGTGGAAGCAGCAGGCGCTGCCAGTGCTCGCGTGGCCAGGCCAGCAGCACGTGGTGACGGGTGCCCAGCAGCCGCACCTCGTTCCTGGCCGCTGCGAAGGCTTCATAACGCGCGCGGGATATTGCCACAGCCTCCGGCCCGCCGTGTGACACAGCCTGCTGGAAATTCAATATATATTAGTGGAAGGATATACTTATAATGTATACAATGTACATCGACTGTGAACGTAATGACTTACCATGTTTTGGAGCGCATCGTTCATGGCGTTTTGTAGCCCTTGAATTCGGTCTCCGGCGCTGAGTCCGGGGCGTTGTGGGAAGAGGAGCAGAGTGCCCGTGTACACTGCCAACTCCTCTTCGGTCATATTCATTCGCTGAAGGTTCCAGATATAAGTCAGCATTGCCGTTGCAAATGCCGCCTGAAACATGATGAATTTTATATGTATAATTTATTGTCTATTATACAGTTTCACCTTCACGTCTATTTGTGTAGCTCTATTGTCTATATATGTAAAAATATATCTTCATCGCATCATCTCACACTATATCTATTCGGACAGTCAGCTTTGTTATAAATAAAGACATTCTGTGTAAACCTATTTTTAAAACCAACATATTTATAATTTAGAAATAAATATTGCATTGTATCGAATACAATAAATAAATAAAAATATTTCAGTACGGAATGTACTGAAGCTGAGTGCTACATGTACGGAGACATGTGTGGCGCAGGGCGCGGACGCTGCGTAGCACGCCCGTAGCGCGCCGTAGACCATGTCTACGCTCGTAGCAGTTGCAGGTACTACGTACTTTTACCAAGTGTAACTATTACGCATATTTTAAATGTTATTTTATTTCTTTAGTCATTTATACAGGGGTTTGGTGCATCGTGCTAAATTGAAATGGTCGACTGAAGGGGTCATCTGCTAACCCGTCAGGCCCCTTTTTATTCTTTTTATGAACGTTTTATTGATATACTAAAAAAACACCCAAATTTTACATTATGTCAAGAGTACTTTTAAATATAATTAGTGACTTTTGTCAATTAGTTTTTATTTAATTTACCCGCAAAGTAAAACTTAAATTAAAGCTGTTACATGTTACAGCTGTTAATATGGCTACAAAAAGAGAACCAAAAGCGAGCGGGATCCTCCAACTTCCTCATTAATTTACTGACAACTTCGCGAATTCGATAGAATTGTGAATCAAGTCACATAAGACCACATTTTTATTAAATAACTTACTTGAGAAAGAGGTAAAATTTGTTTTCTCACTCTTGCACACTAAAACCTCGCTTCTATATCTTTCTTGCATAGAGTTGAGTTTTTAGGGAACAGAGACTAAAGTTCATTAAAATAAGGGAGATCATTTGATTAGGCGAGATGAACAGTTTATTGTTTGGATTTTATACCGCTAGAATTGTGAATCGAGTCACCTAAAATTCAAAATTTTGATTTAAAGCTATGGTCCATTGGTTCATGACCCTGCTAGTCTTGCATATTATTATGCGACGGTATATGCCTTCGAAGACTCAGCGGCCAGGTAATCATCTACCAGGAAAGCGTTCCTGGTAAAGGCGTTGCGCTGCACGAGAGACAACATTAGCTGAACCGTAAGCCATCATGCTGTCTGTCATATACTTCGTTAAAAAAAGTCCCAATAACATTGCAATAGCAAAAAGCTTGTGGGGTCTCTTGGCCTATAACCAACTGCTGTAAAGTGTAACTGTAACAGCTTTAATGTAAATTTAACCTTTGCGAGTCAATTAAATCAAAACTAGGTGTTTAATGTCACTAATTTTGTATTTAAAAGTACTCTTGAACAATACACATCAAAATAAGGAGACTACGCCTTATGATTTTTTTTAATTTGCAGTTGAATGTAAAATTTGGTTGATTTATTAGTAAAACAATAAAAGGTCGATAAAAAATTTAGCATAAAATGCACCGAATCCCTGTATATTGTATGTTTCGACGAAAGTTGCCATAATACATGTTTAGTTAATATTACACACTAATCGCACAACAACCTTGCTACCTAGTACCTACAACTGCATCTATCTAGTTCATGTTCATAAGTACGTGTCGATGTTACCAGGACACCCAGCGAACAATGCGAGCTGACTAACAGAATAATCACGATTCTCTTGTAATGCATTTCATATGAAACTCGAACTTGATCATGTCATTACTCTGTCATGTAATTTTTTCTTTATCTGTAAATCAGTTGTATGTGACCTTGCAGTTAATCTCGTACATGGAAAATAATTGCTTGCTTCGCACTAGTATAATATTTATTGTAAACCTTTGACTTGGAGACGAGATATGTATATATTTTTTTTAATTTCATAAAGAAAAGAAACATCATACCATGATGTAAGTCTGACAAAATACTGAGAAACTGGTAGTGGTAGTAGTAACAGTCAGTAGGTGACAGTGGCGTCGTTGTATACTCACGTCGTATATGGTAGCCAGATGGGCGTGGGTGAACACGGTGCCGTCTTCGAACATGATGCGGTCTGGAGTCGACAGCGCGGTGATGCGGGTCAGCCACACTTCGAAAAACCCTAGCTGCGGACGTAAATACACACTGACAGGTACCAAATTACACTAGTCATGCACAGCGTTGATGGTGGTGAATGATGGCATAGTCGCAAAGCGAGAACTCGCAAGGTTATAACAGAAAATCGCAAACATAATTGGCTAGCGACGTACAGATATATACCGGCGTATCTGTTAATAATAAATATGTATAAAGTATTTGTAAGGATACTAATCCTATAAACTTTTCTTGGAAATACTTCAATTTTTTTACGATTAAAAGTTTATCAAAGTTATCACTGCAATCAAGTTATTGAGCGCAGTCGACAACACGTTTCACATAACGTTAAATTCGGACGGAGCAGTTAGTTTCACAGGCAGCTGTGTAGCTTTATATCTTATTCCTGCATTTTCTATAGCTCACTGATGATTTAACTATAAGTCAGTGGAAAGTCGAGGAAGTCTCCGTTTAATAACAAAACAGGCATGAGTAAGTTCGCTGTGCTGATTCTGTTTAAGTTACCTTAATAATAATAAGCTGGTCGTCTTGGGGTAATCCATGGAAGCCGGGCAACCGCTTTGCGAACTCGACAACTTGCTGGACAGCCGGCGTCATGCGGAGAGCGATGTTGTGCCAAAGCACGGAGCGCGCGTCGGTGGCGCGGTCCGTGCTGGAGGAGGCCGCATCCTCGCCGCCGCTGGCTGTGTCGTACCAATACACTACTATACTAACATGCTCCCACAACGTGACTCCAAAACACAGGTATAAATACCATTATACCCACTTACATCTCTTTTTGTAAAGATTTACTTTAAGAGGACCGCGCATCATTAATTCCATACTATTCAACCTAGTTTCGACACATAATTAAATTAATTATATCTGCAACTGACATTACGTAGTACTTACGTACTATTTAAAAACGGTTGACGCAACATTTCAAATTTAGTCAGATACTTAGACATTATATCTTGAGAATTCAATATTTAAAAATTAAAATTTAAAGAAAATGTACATTTTCCATTATTCATGAAATCCGATAACTTCAGTGGCTGTTAGGTAGTAATTTTAACTAGTAAAACATCGAATAATTTCAGAACTTGAATTGATGACGTAGATACATATCATCTTAATATACCTAGTTATATTCGAATTCTCCATTCACACATAATCATAAGAAAAAGATTAAATTTCAGTAAACAATATTACAATGCAATGATGGTGCACTGATATTGTTAATATCGAAGTAGTTAAAAGGTGCGATAACTATGACTAGTGACGCGTACTCGCATTCGACTGCTTCGGATAAATTTTCTTCGTGACGGAGACGTGACGTGACGATATGTAGGCTGCTATTTAGTACAACATTATTGTAGTTACACACTGCACATTTTATTTTTCTCGTGCGAAAAATAATGTTCCGCGTCGTCTGAATATTTATTTCTGTGGCAACGTATTAATTTGTTCAAAAGTATGTTTAATTTTCGGAAATTCTATATTAATCTTGTTTAAAATCAATCTATTATTTAACGTTTCTTTGTAACTGACTTCTACGGTAACTTGAAGTTAGTTCCTCCACACAAACGGAGGCGCGAGAACAATGTGACACTATCTACATGGCCAAGAAATATTAATATTAGATAGTAATATCTCTCGTGTCAAACTAAATTGTTTTACCTCGTCATCAGGTACCTTTGTTTTATAATCGTATAAGCAGTTTCCAATAAATAACAACGTACTTCCTACTACTAGTGAAACTCGATCCGTCTAGTACAATGACCACGTTTACTTTACTCAACAAATTATATTATGAATGAACGAATTGCTGACTGCTCATGTATTTGGTAATAACTAGGCAACCGAAATGTTTAGTTTTGTAGAATTGTAACGTGACCTATGTGTCTGATTGCGACTAAAACATTATGAACGAAATAATTATGAAAAGCGAGTAATTTGGTGTGACTAGCGCGGTAAAACATACAAACGTCAACTAGTATTGCTATGTATATGTAGGTATACGAAGCACCTATTTCCCCTGGCACTGGCCTTACCAATGGTCAGCCCGTACTCTGTAGTAGGTTGTGTCAAGAGCTTATATTTTCCGAATGAGGGCTCCACGCTCCACGAGACTCGACCGCCCCAACAGAATGCACTTAGTAGTTTTTATTTCCATTCGTTTATTATCTGTTGCTTTCAGTAATGTTGTATTGATGGTTTAATAAGATGTTAAAGACATAATTAAGTCAGTGATTTAAAATACCTACTGAGTAAACGAGAGGTGACGAATGAACGCGTAGTAGTTAAGCTATTGAGATCTAAATTAAAATGCATGATGGTGTAAATAGGATAGATGCACTCGTTGAGTGTGCAACGTTAATGGAAGGCTACACGGCGCTCACGGGGGCGGCGGGTGACGCCGCGCGGCGCGACATACACCCACGACTTCACAGCTCCGATCATACCTCCATTATTAATATAAGATACAGTGTCATTGTCCTCTTATCTATTATAATGCTTTTATCGATAGACAAAACCCAGACTGTCTGCCATTGCACGATGGTGTATCTATGTATTAGCTTCGACACATTGTGTGGGTAGAATAGAATTCTTAAGAGTACTCCAGTAAAGAGAATGTGCGTAAACATTTAATTGGCATAAAGATATAATAAGTATCACGAGGATTATTGAGTGACTTGCGGTGGTGGAGCATCTAAACTTTTACAAAAATATGCGAACTTAAACAGTTCAATTCAAAGATCCCTGTAATTTGTTAATCAAATATTTCGCCAATAGAACTACGCTAAGAATGAACTGAAAAGGTTGATAATGTGTCGCTAACAAACATTAGACGGGTCATTGACCGTTCATTTCTAACTTGTGTCGATAATGATGTATTACCCACTACTTAAGTACATTCGATATTTTCAAACCTTTATTCAATGGTACCCTACTCGACATTGATCAACAATTATTTTTCGTAATATTACTGCGCTTGTAATTATTACTGGGAAGATTAAAATAAATCGATAGTATAGCCGAAATAATCATTAAAATCAAAAACCGCGTTTAGTCTCTCTAGAGTGCCATAATAGGTATATGTATGTACTTATATACTGTCAATAAACACATAACACTCCTTTTCGGAGTCGAGTAAAAAATGAATCCATCGGGTAGGTAGTTCTAACGATCTAAGTAGTAAGAAGAAAAGTTACACATGAATATTTTTCTGAGAAGTTTGCTATTAGAATAATGATAGTGCTGTTCATTTTATAGGCGGAACTGGGGTATTGAAGGGTGGCCTGCATATTGCATGGAGTGCTCCACTGCTCCAGGGTACAGCAGTCAGTGTATTACTAATTCACCATGTTTGGTCGAGCTCGTGCAACAAGTATTGTGTTGTGTTGACAGTCGATGTCAGGCCGGCCCACTTCAAGTACGTAAATATTAAACGTACAATTGCCTATTAACTATTAACAATTACATAGTTTGCTGTTAAAGTCCACAATGCGGTATTACTGGGGCGGTCTGTAAGGGACGCGTGCGCAAAACTCCGTGACAATATCGAAGTAGGTGATATATTTTATGCGTGTACTGTGTATGTAAAAAAATTCTGTTGTAAATAGTCAAGAGTCAAGCATAACAAAAAAATCACGTGAAAGGTACAGTATTTCAAAATGGATTCCATTTGCACTTATAGCTTTATTTTCTGAAATAAATTAAAAGACAAGTAGGTATACCTACTTCTAAGAAAATAAACTTAATTGAATATTTTTTAGAGACATAGTAACCATAATTTTCTTCAGATATTATGATTGTTGTTTCAATCAAGGTATTTTCCGAGTACTAGTTATTACAAAATATAAAGAATATCGTTAGATACTGGTAGATAGAACGTCAAAGAAATTTTATGAATATTTAAGTTGGCTATACCTCTATTCAAAAGTCGGTACTTGAAAAAATGTTTAAAATACAACCGTTAGTAAAGCGAAATGAGTTAATCAAAAAGGGATAAATATTTGTTATTATGTTTTAAAATGCTACATACTTATCATCTTATTATTTAAGTCTATATTTTAAAATTGCTTAAGAGAAACTCGATTGTAAGGAGTTGAATAAGTAAATAGAACAAAATCATTATGTGCTCAAGTTATGAGCAGTATTTTGCTTAGGATTCGATACTTGTACCGAGTAACATTCCCTATCAGTGCAGATAATTTTTGAACACGTGTCCATGGACGTATGGTAGTTGTTGTCGCGCCTAACCTTCATCATTTGATATGAATGTGTTGCTTGAATTTGAAACTCAACCCACTCAATGACCTACTTATGTAAAAAGTTTCCGAAGCAGTTTTAAAACTGCCGCACTTTAGATTTGCCGTTGCAGTCGATTTTATATTCAAAACACTGGCCGAATATATTACTACAATATGTTTTTTTCTTGTATCTCAGAAGTTTTAAATTCAATCAGGATTTCAAGTAATTGATTGTCAATATTTACTTTATAACTTTCGTGAGAAATACTAAATTAATTATTATGTTTTGATTGTTCGTCGAGTAGCGCTGCATCTGTGCCGAGAAACACGTAATATTACAGTATAGGGTTAGGACAGAATGGACGCATACAAACCTTCAGCTTCAGACTCCTCGACGCGGAAGGGGGCGGCGCGGGGCTCCAGGGAGACCCTTAATTCCTCGGTGTAGGTGTTGGTGCCGCGGTGGGCTGTGGTGATGAGTTTTACTAATTCCTTCGTCATTTCTTGCCTTAAGAGCTCTGCTTCCAAGGGATCTGTTGGGGGGATCGTGGTTGCGTTGGTATGGACCGGTCGCTTTGAAGGTTCGGGCAGGCTGTCTGCTGCGGAGGGCTCTCGGGGTCTCTTCGGTACTCTTCCGTATCGTACGGCTGGGGAGAAGGGCCACATTATAAGCACGTAGTCTCCGCGTCCGCGGCGCTCGCGTGTGTATGTGCAGCGGTGCACCTCGCACGCCGCTATGCACTCGAATGGGCTCGATTCGACAATTGGAAAATAGGTGCGACTGCGACTATTTGTACATTGACACCGCTGCGTTTCTGCGTCGCGTCGATTGTAATTTCCTGTTGGATATTAATTGCGACTCTTCTGAACAGATTGACCTGGGAATGTAGGTTGTGTGCCATAGTCGCGGAGGCTTAGATACTGAGCTTCGGTTTAATGAAGGGATCATATACTAAGCGATATTAAATAGAGTCTGAACTACTCGTACATATACTTTGTTGGGAAGTTATCACTGCAAAAGACTCTGTTTCAGTACTACCCACAACCGAGTAAAGGGATCGATGCCCCTGTTGCAGATTAATTACTATTCAGCTTAATGATTATATTATTAAAATGCTTAGTACAAGGACGGATCTTGCAATAGTGTAGTAATAAATTAACCCCGTGCTACCCATGGGTTTTAATAAATTATCTGCTTTTAATATTGACGGATGGAACGGCGGTAGATCGATAAGAAACGACGACTGTAAGGGTAGACATTATATTCCCGAGGCGGTAACTACGTCTAGTTGAACCTACCCCCACTGGTCGTGTAATCGTAGCGGTAACTACCAAGGCGTCTCGGCTTCGATTCTCACGCCGAGAGGCGTGAAGTTGGGTTATCTATAATTCTAAGTAGATTTCGTGGCGCGATGTAGGTAGTATTTTATAGGATCGATATATATTACCTATAAGTGTGATTTTTACGTTACAGATACGTACATGATATATGTACAATGTACATGTAATAACTGCATGCACCCCTCTCAACTGCTATTGAGAATGAAATGATGCTATGTTACTTCCTAAACATTTATTATGAATAAAGTTTAAACACGAAAACTAGGGCAAAATTACGATTTTAATGAGCTGAAGTAAGCGACATCTAGGTTTCGCCTATTATACATAGTTCCGTAGGTTGCTGGCACAGTATTTGCAGAACCCGTGTTTAATTTAATTACCCACAATTTTAAAAAAAATTGGGAATTATAATAATATTCTGTCCGAACCGGATATCGCTCCCGAAACCGCCTCGGCAGACGCACTGGCGATTACTATACCAAACGGATATTAATAAAATATTTTAATTAATGTTTATAACCAACATGACTGAAACCTGTACACTTTTTGTAAAATTATTTAAAGGCTATTTGCAAATTTTGGAACTCGGTGTTATTATTTAACTAATCGGATTAAATCATAGTGAACATAAAATAGATATTTCAATTCGAGCGGCTAAATAAATTAGGTAAAAAGTAAAAACATATCTAGAAAAGTGCTCATACGGACTTAATAACGTGGCGTGAGGGTAATTTTATAATCTTTGTTAAAAATATTTCAATGAATTGAGAACTTTTTCCCTTTCTTTGGTCAACAAAATGTAAGTTACTTACAGTCTTTGCTCATGCCAACCGCCAAGCACTTCTTAAATCTGCAGAACTGGCACCGATTCCTGTTCAGCCGGATGACCAGACACTTCCCGTCACGAAGGCAGCGATACTCAATTTGTTTCTGAATACTCCGTCGAAAGAACCCCTGTGACCGGACAACGACAAATCAGTATAATATAATACATCCACAAAAAAATTACACATTTATAAAAAAAAAAATAAGGACACAGAAGATAAAATAATCCGTTAAAAAGTTTACGAAACAAAATCAAATTCTTTAAAGAAATTACTATGGAGGTTTTAATAAGTTTCACATCACTGACTGAATATAAAATAAAATTAAAAAAGAATATTAATTATGTACCTAACTAACACTCAACACCGAGATCTGATCGCAATATGAGCACTGGAGACGGAGGAGCTGTCCATTAGGTAGCTATGCCGAAGGCTTTATGGCACAGAGCTCAGTTCGCACAACATCGACGAGGCGCAGGGCGGTAGCTTATATAGGTACTAGGGTTACCTAGCGAACTCAATTATAACTGCATGCTCTGTTTACCCACTTTGACAGCCCTAACTAGACGTAATTTTTATTCAAAATACATTGTTCTATACTTATGAATTCTAAATCGGTTATTTAGTAATTTATCAAATCAAATATTAATTCATTTTTAATGAAATTAGATATAGAATCGATATATTTATTTATCAACCATAGACAATTTTTGTGTACATCTGGTCTGTAGTGGGTAGGTATATTTAGTTTTTTTGTTTTTAGTAATACCGTCAAATGTTAACATTATGCAAACGTACCAAACCTCTACTGTAACTATGTCAATTAATTAAAGCGTGATTGCAGATTGATACATATTTAAACTCGAATCGATACCGTATTAGCTACATTGTATAAGGGATGTTAAAATTGTATAAAGGATGTTTGTGATGTGAAAAGCATGCAGTTAATTAGGAAAGTTGTCGCCAACTGCATTGAATAACTTTTGGAACGAATCTCGACGTTGCTAATCTCGGGAAGGTTGAATGAGATCCCGTAAACAGCACCGAGACAAAATTTCTGCGATACGGGAAACAAACTATTATTTTTTACAAACGACAATGGAGGTACCGACTCCCTTCTACAGATAACCAGAGCTTGGGTACCGTACCGTACTACCGCAGCTCGTGGCTCCGTCCACTGGCTGGACATTCATCTAATTTGTTATTTCTCGGAAACAATTCAATTTGACGACTTACGTGGAAATGACAAGAATGCAATGTCTTCGATTGCGGGGTATTCTTACATTATTTATCAGAATAATTTTTTAACTACTTCGAAATCACAAACGTCTCGTTTAACAAGTAAATAATAATGTCAGGAACATTTGAAATATGAATAAATGTCAGTGAGAGTGGTAGGTGTCTACTGGCACTTTGTGGGTACTGCACGTGAACGTGATCCCCATTAAATGTGGGGGTCACGCGGCGGCTAAACATCCCGCGGTCACGTGACCAGCCCCCAGCACTCCGATACAGGCCCCAAGTATTTTTGTATTGTCTCGACCGTTCACTAACCAAAGTTGGCAGGAACTAACTCATTGCAAAATATCGACAGAAAACTGCTCTGAAAGTCAAGCAACAAGTTCATAGTTACTCTATTGTTTGAAACTATCTTCTTTAACTTTCTATGGTACCTATAGAAATATATATAAAAGATAGTTTTGTTGAAGAGATGATTTTCATTTTAAAGTTAGGAAGTTATTTGATTGTGATATAGTCACTCGACGACGCATTTGTAATCTTATTAAGATCTGTGTCGGGTGTCGGCCTATTGTGAAGCTGCAGGGCGACGGTGCTGAATAATTTACCATAATATATAGATCAGCATTTGTGTTTGAGCTACCTTAGGATAATCACATGAACTGGCTCGGAGTCACTACAGTTTCCGATGTTATTTTGTAACAAACACTTCGTAAATAGTTTATGTGGTTTCAATTACCACACACGGGAACTGAATAGCGAGGCTGCTTACTGCACGTATTATTAATGTGGACAGACTATACCGTAGCCTTCGGTTATGCCTATGGACGTAGCACGTCAGCTGACAATGGATTTGCTTACAGCGTGGTTAATGCAAAAAAGTAATTCAATTTTCGCAAACCCCTGCAGTTGCCATCCGCGTAATCATTACCGAGGATATTATTACAGCTGATCAGCACATTGTTCGACTTGTTAATGGTTTTTTCCAACTGCCATATGACCGATATTTATAAAACTTGCATTAAAAATAGATAAATTTTGAAAACTGGATGTTATTTATAACTCGTTATCGACCCTTCAATTTCCCGACGACTGTGTCGGAGTAGTTGGTCGGTCAAGTGGAGGTACTTGCCAGACGTAAGCGAGATGATAATAGCAGATTGCAATAAGTGCATGTGAAGGCTGTAGGGTACTTGTGTCACTGGAATTAGACTACGGACGATATTGCGTTGAAAAAGTTACTGGAACGAACGGAGCCGGCCGGTCAGGTCATCCTCTTGAGCTGGAGTGTGTCAGCTCTTCAAGCACCACTTCAGTTTTAATTACATCGAACTGTAGATACTACTTCCACGGACTTACTTGAAATCTCACTCCACAGGTTACTCAATGAGACAACACAGACTCCAGGTTTGTTCTACTATAATATATACTATAATATAATTTTCCACAACAGCTGTTGATAATTAGGACACAATCAGTTCATAATTTAGTGGCATTGTACATGCCCATTATCGTACCCCATGAAGGTATGAGGTATTCAACAATTCAGTTTTCAGGCGCCTACCTCCCCTTACATATTCTATTAGATAATTAAGTCCATACACCGATGCGGTATCTATCAACCAGCGCATAGCACGGTAACCCAACATTGCATTAAATATACAAAGTATACTCGCAATAATTATCAAGTGGTACAATGTGCTCGTTACCACTGTTATAATTCATAATACATTTGTAGCAGTGACGCCGGTTTTCCTTTTTACACGCCCCCCGTATCGTTTAGTTCTAATTTTTAAACAATGTTGACAATATTTAATGCCGGTGGTTAAATAAAAGTAACATCGTCACGCCGTTGACTTCTGAAGGGGTAGGCGAGTGTATCATTAAATGTGTAGGTACAACATAACTAGATGTTTAAGTGACAAGGCCTACGGCAACATCCTGTACATTGTGCGTAATGTTCGGCCACGTCACTCTCCGCAGGCTACTGCGAATGTGTTATCAATATTCCCCGAGAAACCACCACCGCCGCACATCTAGCAAAATTCAACTTTATGAAATATCTATTTCAGTTGTATTTGTAATGTCAGCATTAGACGGGGAAGTATGCAATTATTTTACGCTGAGTGTGTTTGAGCAGCCGACACGTTGCTTCACTAACACGTGTGTTATTCTAAACCGAACAATTAATGAACTGTTGCAATGCATTCTGCACTTTGTAGTGCATAGTTTAAATTATTATTAAATCCCAGCATGTTTACGTTAGAAGGGAACTAGGTGAAGAGTGCCGTGGAGGTCAGCCAGGGACATTATTACATTTCTCTGGGTACAGTAAGCAGCGGCTCGTGGAAATTGAACTAAGCTTCCTCTAAGTTAATCTATCGCGTCGAGTTAATTGTGTTTGTGTTCTAGATGTAGTTTATTTTTTATTATTTTGTAACGATGAAATTTTCTGTTTTGGTAGGTACCCACCTACATACTTTCAATTTATGCATGTATAGATTTTCGTGGTTTCATGTCAAACAAAAAGATAGAATATAAGAAGGTAAATGAAGTACCTAAATGAAGGACTTTCATCTGATTATGTACAATATATACCATCTTCTGACTGCCTCGTTGGCCGAGTGGTTGCAAGTGCGACTGCCGGGCATGGGGTTCGGGTTCGATTCCCGGGTCGGGCAAAGTATTACTGGGTTTTTAAAAATCTCAGTAATAGCACGGAGTCTGGATATGTGCCCGGTATATGGCAATAGGTTCACCCCCTATTACAAGGGACTCATAACTAAATAGTGAAAAGTGGGTGTTACATTGTATAGTGGTATTAAATGCCGCAATGTGCACCTCTGCCTACCCCTTCGGGGATAAAAAGGCGTAATGTTATGTTATGTATACCATCATCTAACACACAAATACACGCTGACGAAATATTGCACATGTAACTATGTATACGAAAGCGTTAATAGCCACGTACCTAACATCTTCATAGATAAACATACGTACATAGTATGCCTTGTATAGTAGAGACTCGAACCTATGACATTAGACACCGATACACCCGCGCACTTTCCTATAATGTAAAAATGTTTACGTCATAATCCATTGTTTGAATTAATTAAAGAATAAAATAACAGTCCCATTGTCGCCATAATGTGTCCACTGACAGGAGATTTCTTTGTGAATAAATTCTATTGAATTGGTTCGACGCCATCGGAGTAAACATTTCTGAGAAATAGTAAGTGCATTCACTTCGTTAACTGATATTGTTAATGAGAGAAAACATATATACATATAATATGATATCATTCCTTTACGTTTTTTTAAAGGTTGCCCCACACTTGGCTTTTCTGCTGTGTCGTGGTTTGCAATCATACAAGTTCACTACACAGGCCACCCAGACCCGGAACAACAACCTGTGGATCACACAAAAAGTTGTTCCGTGCTGGAATCGAATCCCCGACACGTTACGCCGCAGCCATTTGCCCAACCACCGCGCCAACCGTGCAAACTAGTTTTATTATTTTGTATTACATAGGATTTAAACTGGCCGCCTTGATATAGCTACCTCCTAGAAATAGCCTCCGTCAGCAAGAACCATGTTTCGAATAACGAATTAGTCACCTCTACCCATGAGGGTGTTTGGTTTGGTGACTTTCTCCGTCATTACTCGGTATTTTTAGATGAATTTGGTGCATGCGTAATTATAATGTGTGCCAATACAGCTCGGTATGAGTTATACTCCTAGGACGAGTTAATAGTGCCGTAAACAAAGAAAAACAACTGGTGCTGTTACATCACAATAATATTAATAAACTGCAGACTTACTTTAGTTGTAAGGAAGGCACGCTGGCGCAGGTAGCATGGTGTCAGATATTACACTCGATACATGAAGATTAATGTCTTACCTTCAAAAATGTCTAACCTGAGTTAGTTGTCTATCTTACCAAGGGACTGCCTCGTTGGTGACCGCCGAGGATGTAGTTTGGAGTAACTATTACTTACTTTACTGATACTTAAATTCTTGATTTGTATGAGTCTATAGACTTCATTGGTAATGTTAATGTTACAATAAGACTTATAACATAACTGGATCATTATATCATTATATATGGTGTGTATTATTTAAATTAATAAAAAATACATACAACGTGAATTCTAAATAACCACACGCAAAATGATTTGTCCTCCTTAGTACTGTACAGATAAATATATCAATTGTACAATCAAGAAAACATCATTTAGCTAGAGGAAATCAATCAGTTAAAATTCTCGTTGCATATGAAGCGCACCTCTGTCTAGTTTTGACTAATTTCTGTACAGTGGCGGATTAAGCATGCTTAGGGCCATTTATATTTTTAGCACTAAATCTTAAAGTTACTTTGCAGCTGAGGTGAGTCCGGTGGGGTGGGGCGGGTGTCCGGTGGTGGCGCGCGTCGTGGGGCCCGTGGCGTTGGCTACTCTCGCTGCGTGGTTAATCCGTCACTGGATATGTGCGTCTTACCTTACATCCCTCACATGATGTAACGCCGTAGTGATAGCCGGAAGCTTTATCACCACACACCTTGCAAGGGGTAGCTGCCTTTGTGACGGTGCCTGAACTCGCGCTGTCTGCCGAGTACGTAGATGGGTCTGTAGACAAACATACATAATTTAACACACTACTATTACTATTAATAATCATCTTCTTATACAAGTTCACTGCTCAGCAAGGACCTTTTTTTAAGGGGGGAAAATCATCGAATGACTGCTCCCGCCTGGGTGAGGCAGGAGGTGTTAGACTCTTACTGAAAAACCACCCCGTTCCTTCTCCTGCGCTTCGAGCCGGAGCCCCAGTAACCCGACCTTAGGAGGGAGATAACGCTGCTGCTGGTCACTCGGTGACTGGTCTGGCAGTTTTATGATGTATCTTGGTTGGAATGTAACCAATTAAACAACTGATCACAATCAATAAAGAGACGATCGATTGTAATATTTTCTATTTGCATACAAGATGCGTTCTATGTATTTGTGGTATTTATCGTATTTATCAAGATTTTTATTGTTACTACTACGTTTCTAAGTTTATTTACTGTTTTTAAATAAATAAATCTTATTATGATGAATACCTTCGGATTTGCTGTCGTTTTTTTGGTTTTTTACATACAGAATAAATGTCCACTTAAAGTATGACGACATTTTTCTTCAATTCCCTACAAGTAAGTCTTTTATTTATTCTACTTCATTCGAAACATGCCTTAAGATTGTATTCTCCTAGGTGAAGATTGATTCTATTCTTGGAGTTACTATTTCATTACAAACTTCTTGAAAAGTAAGTGAAAACAAATTCATAGAAGTGACTGACTTAGCTTCAGGCAGATAAATTCATTTGAACTAGCTATTTCAATTTGCAGGTTATTGTGACAAAGTAAAAACTGATAGGTATCCGGCTGTTTATATCAAATTATATTTGTTCTCCGATCACACTGAGTTAGTTATATTAATTGGTTAAACAATAAAATTTACCATTTTACCATTGAACAAGTTTCTGTTCGATTTCCGTTCTGTGATATTAAATATCTGTCGCGGACTGCACTGCCTCCATACAACTCAATATTTTGTAGAAAATTTTTATAAACGAGAGGAAATTAATTCCTCCATGTTCATGCGGAAGAAAATATAAATTCATTTCAGTGGCATACAACCCTGCCATCTCCCTATCTAGTTTCCAATTACTAGTCAGCGGCCATGTTTGCGCTGCGGCCCAATTTGCAGTGTCTTGCAATCAATTTCATGTCAGCGATGTGCACGGCCGGCGTGCACAAAGTAATGTCATCTGCACGGCCGCAAAGGAAATCATGCATTGTTACATGAACTGGCCGAAGTCATCACAAAACCTATGTTCTCATAAAGAAAAATATTGGAGCGGAAGACTTTGATAAACTTTTTGTGTTATTTTAATAAAGAGACTAACGAGCCCTCGAGCTGAGGTTTGTTTTCACCCGCGGTTTGTGCTGAATATTATTTTTTAATTAGTACGATGCGGCCGTCCATTTGTGCAACGCATAGTATTTCAATCGACGAAGTAAAATTAAAATTAACTTTTGAACGCGGTGCATTACAAGGGATACATTAACAAACCTAGAAGAAAGATGCAGTACATATGTACATTGTATGTAGAATTGTACATTTCATTCATGTAGGTAGAACAGCATCATGTCAAATAATGAGTTTTAACTTTACGTAACCATAATCAAATAAACTGCATCAAACAGACATGAACATACCTGTGACTACCGCATAAACATTCGAATAATTCAGGCAGGGGAATTACATTCAGTATTTTCAATTAACCAAATAGTAATTATGCTTATATCGGTGACTGTGGTACAGCAATGAATGTGGATGTTACATCCAACAAAATACCTTTCGAATTGTTCGTATAGGAGGAAGAAAACCACAGGGTGGTCGCAGCGGCGGGACGCCAACGCTGTCATACACTAGGTAACTGCGTGCCGCCCGCCGCCGTGTGTCATGTAATATATTACACGTATGTACATCGTCAAAGCAATCAGCCATCAACATCAGGGCAGCACTAATTAGTATCACTGTTATCGTACAAGGGCAAGGGGTCTCGGGTTCGATTCCCGGGTCGGGTAAAGAACTACCGGGTTTTAAAAAAAATCTCAGTGGTAGCGCGGATTCTGGAATTGTGCCCGGTATATGGCATTAGGCTCACCCCCTATATGTAATAGGTAGTCCCATGTAGGGACTCATAACATAAATAGTGAAAAGTAGATGTTACATTGTACAGTGGCATTAAATGCCGTAATGTGCACCTCTGCCTACCCCTTCGGGGATAAAAGGCGTGATGTTATGTTATATTATGTTTGTTGTACATTTCGTACGCAATACTAATTATTTTTTGAATTTACTGAAATCAAGTTTGACTGCGCTTGCCCCGACTATGTATCGTATGAATCAGAATAAATGTATGTCCGTATTTATTTAGCTGTTCAATCGAGAAACAATAGGTTTATTGTATTGTTATGTAAGTGTGGTATGAGGGTTTATCCAGGGCCCCAGGGCGGAACTCCTGAATAATGGCTGCACGTCCACTCACTAGTTAATCCCCTTCCGGTCTGGAGAATATTGACGTGATGGTGTGAATACAGATAGATGAAAGTGGTTGTCAGGAGTCACACATACGCATTGTGTTGCATCGCTTGTGCTGGCTGAGCGCGAACAAAGCGCTGTAAGCTGGTGTTGGACGCAAGTTAATATGTACTGCGAAGCTTAGCGTAGCGTGGAGCTGACCTAATTTATCATAAACTGGATACAAGGTCGAGTACCGAGTGCGGAGGCAGAAATCATCATGACCTGGAATACTCGGCCTTGAACTGCATCTGCATAGCATTATTAATACTAAAGGTAAATTGAGAAATTATTGGTGGGAAACTGGGAACCTTCCATTCGTTTATCAAATTACAGATTACAGAGACTTCAGGATTAGCTCTTATCAAACTCGAATGTTAGCGAACTTTTTTAACGGAATACATTCATAGATAAATCTCTCTTTGCGTTTCATTTAGTTCGAAACAAATTGCAAATATTTGATATTGCATACGGACAGGTCGGCAGGTTCATATTTCATTCGTTAAAAAAGTACAATATTTGGAAACAAGGTTTTTTATTTTAAGCCTGCGCTTTTACAAGCTTAGAATATAATAGATCACCAGTAAATTTTACATTTCTTGTAAAGAAATATGAATTAGATGTGATTTAGATGTTAATGTTTACTATAAAGCCGATGTACAAATATGTACATATTTTTTAACAATATCGATTTTAAAGTAATCATATTTCCAACTTGAATGTTAGAAGCATATTTTAACATACACCTTTCAAAGAAAAATATCAAAAATATGGACAAAAAATGTTTAACAACATACTTATATTGTTAATAATAAGCTGTTTATAAGCAAGTTTTAGTAAATCGATAAAGAGCACAATTAATTTTTAATTGATAATTGTAGAGACCCTTAGTTCTACTAATCACTCCAAATAAAAAGAAGTGCACTTGTACATAAATAATAATTGGTCTGTAATATGTAATTTCTATGAAACGCTTGACCTCGAACCCGCGGATTCCCACCCCGAGCCTAATAGTCTCGAAAGCCCCTTAATAAAAAAAGTACAAGAAATAAATAAAAGTGAAATCATATTTCGTTGCTATACAGCTATCATTTTATTTGTTAAAATTTCGAAATAAAATTTTCGACAAGCAACCGAGCAAATCAATAAATAGCACCGTACATGGTTGTCACATGTTTGTTACGATTGTCACAATTCAGGGAAGATTCATGAACGATATGAATACAATGATAATTCCGTGATAATTATAAATAACGGTCACAGTCCATTGATTCATTTATATCCGTATAATTAAATTAATCATTAATTAAATTCTTGCAGGCCAAATGGTTGCAAGTGCGACAAGGGGTCTCGGGTTCGAATCTCGGGTAGGGCAAAGTATTAGTGGGTTTTTTTAAAAAATCTCAGTAGTAGCACGGAGTCTGGAATTGGCCCCGGTATATGGCAATAGCCTCACCCCCAATAACATAAATAGTGAAAAGTGAGTGTTACTTCTGTGTGCACCTCTGCCTACCCCTTCGGGGATAAAAGGCGTGATGTTATGTTATATTATGTTAAAATCTGTCCATGTTAATTTGCCGTAGATATTAAAGCTATTATTTTTTTCGTTTTTGTGGTATGGGTCAATAGATGCAGCCTCCACTTACAAGGCAGGATGTACGAGGCTGTTGCCTTGCTGTCAGGGTGTTCGTTTTCCTATTCTCCATAGTTCACTATAGTGTAACGAAACCTCCCAACTCCTCATTGGGTGACCTATTTGAAAATTATTATACACGATACTAGTTCAAATGACTTAAATATTCTTTGAAGAGTTTTTATTTCAGGAATTATCAAAATACGAAAGATTTTTGTTTATGTTTATTACGTGTAAATTATTAAACATTATTTAACTAACAAAGGTGCATTTGATTTTAGGAAATCATATTAGACATTCCGTGTGTTTCAGACATGGGTAATCTCTGTCTAGGATGGGCCTTTGAGCCCCGTCCTGGCATGTCAGTCCGCCATGGCAGCTGTCTTGCACAGATACTGCATCGAGTATTGAATTCGGCTGTGTATCGAATCGAAAACACCTCCGGGGTAAGCTGAGCAGTCTGAGCACTCCCTAAAACTAATATTAGCAGAGAGTGACTAATTTATTTCACATCAAAATATTAAATTACTATGTTTTCGGATTACTCACGTAGTAATTGGACGAGGAACTCGTCTAGTTTCAAGCAATACTAGAGGCTCATATTGATGAGTAGCATTTCGCGACCCGCGACGAGGCGACTGTCGCGCTGCTACTGACGTCATCGACATCAAAATATTTGTAACTTTTACGTTAGTTTGCTACATGCTGTCAATTTCCAACTCAATCTGTATAAGTTTCGAATAAAATCCATACCAAGTTTAATTTTAAAATGCTCACACAGACATGGGAAGGTAATTAGCTGATTGGATACCACCAAAATATTTTGAAAGAGTTACACAAAAGCCATAAAATAAAAAATCAAAAT